CCGTGGCCTTTCTCAGCGGGAGCAGAGGAGCAGCTGTCCTCTCCAGCGGGGCTGGGCGCTCACACACGGCGTGTGGGAGTACATGCTCACCTCGCCTCCCCAGGCCTCTTTTCCACCACTTGCCTGACCCCATAGCACTGGAATTTATAACCCTTGCTCTAGCCCTATTCCACGTTTTCCAGTGGGCACAAGGAGGCCCAGAGGGGACAACTGATTTGTCAAAGGCACATGCCCAAGTAGCTCAGTTGTATTCCAAACCCACACTCCTAAAGGTAAAATCTAGGGGTGGGAAAGGTGGACGGCTCCCTTTGCTTCATCATGCTGAGCACATCCTCACCCACACCACGCCTTTCTCCCTTCCTTCTGACATGGAAAGAGGAGGCACTAAGGCCTGGGTAGCCGGGGTAGCAGGTTGGGGGTGGGAGAGAGAACAAACCAAGGGGGAGCTGGGGTGCTGAGATCTTCAGTTGCCTGAGGCCAGTCCTGTCCCTACCACCTCCCTCCCCCCTGAAGCACAAACCTGAGATGAAAGCAGGTGGCATTCTTCCTGCCCTTGGTTCACTGTCTAGAGCTCAGATTTTAATTGGAACACAGGAGCTGAGTCACAGACAGCCTGTCCTGTAACTTGGTTTACAAGCAGAGGTTGTGAGTGGGTGGGACACCCAGACACTCCTAAGCCTCTTGATCCTCTCCACTTTTGAATTCATTACCTTCCCTAAGCCCCGGCAGCCAGGTGTGAGGTGTGGGAAGTGGCTGGACATTTTTTCTTGGACTAAATGCCCCAGGATACAAAGGAAGAGAGAAACCCCGCTGCCCCCATTCTGCAGCTGAGCCCCTGGCACACCCAGGCCATAAAGCTGGCAGGATGCCCAGGTCACTGAGTCCAGACCTAGAGCTACACTCTAATTAAAAACAAAACAAAAAACAGGTAAGGTTAACTGCCTCCAAGAAGGGAAGCTGCAAACACCGATCACTCTTATAAACCCTTTTCTTCTTTCAAGAAGGCTTTATTTTGGGGGGCCAGTTTTAGGTTCACTGCAAAATTGAGCAGAAGTACAGAGATTTCCCATTTACCCCTCCACACACCCACACAGCCCCCTCCGTCATCAAACCGCCCACCAGAGGGGTGCATTTGTTAGGACTTACGACCCTACACGGACACACTGTAATCACGCAGAGTCCAGTTTACATTAGGGCCACGCGGTGTTGGGCATGCCATGAGTCTGGACAAATGTTTACTGGCACGCACCCACCATCACAGCCTCATACAGAATAGTTCCACTGCCTTGGAAATCTGTGCCTGTTCTAAGCAAGAACATTTCAGGCAGCACCCTGGGAGATCCGGAGACCACTCGGTGGAGCACAGAGCTGCGTGGAGGGAGGACCCGCATGCTGAGCTGAGCGAGGGCAGGCTTGCATTCTCTTTACCCTCTTTAGTCCCGATACATGAGCAGCTGTCGGGATAGACGTGAGGGAGGAAAGCAGCCCAGGTGCCGTTCTGCTCACCAGGGTTTCGCTGTTACAAAGGCCCAGTCGACAACTGGTTTTAAACACACCAGCACAACGCTTCCCACCATGGCAGAGGGACCAAGCAGCAGGGGCTTCCCTTTGGGCGGCTGGGGCAGGAATGTGGACCAGCTCCTCCCTTCTTGTTGGAAGAGGAAACCACAGGCAGCAGTAAAGCAGTTTGTGACCAAACTGAAGCTTTGTCTCTTTCAGACCTTCTAACCCTTTCTAAAGGGTCTTGAAGTCTTGGAAAGTTATGTGAGCCTCACTGATGCCGAGTACACTAACCATAACACAAAAATTTCAGAGTTTCGCAGGGATGTAAGGAAGCTAAGAGCGTCACAAATGAAGACAATCATTTGGCCAGGCAGAGCTGGATAAAAAGGCACTGTCTCTACTGCTTCTCTTTACCTTTTTCAGTCTGTAATTTTGACCTGTTACCCTGAATGTGACAAAGAGCTAAAGAAGGTGCAAGACCAACAGGCCAGCCTGGGACACCTGAGCGAGCCTGTTCTCAAGAGCGTGTCCTGAAACGATCAGCAAACGTCAGTCCTCTCCGTGCAAGGTTTCAGTCCTCTCCGTGCAAGGCAAACTGCTGAGGCAGGAAGCAAAACACCACCAGGAGCGCAGGCAGCTCGGCCTCGTCTAGGCAGGATGTGAAATGTCAGGCCATTCGTCTTGTATTTTCACTGCAGCGGTTGCAGGATGGGGTTGATGTGGGAACGGAAAATAATACTGACTCAGGAGAATTCCTCCTTCTTCTTCAGCTTTAAGCACTGACGCCCACTCACCAGGTCTGGGAGCCAGCACAAGCGACACAGCGAGCACTCCTTTCCCAGGCCTCCTCGCCCGGCTGCCAACAAGGCAGAAAGTGCCCAGTCAGCACCCACCGGAACCCGCCAACGGCAGGGACGTGTCTCTAATTCCCTCCGGCTACGGTGCAGAGCCACGGTCACACCACGAAGGTAGAAAGCCCAGGGTTCCTCCAATAATCGACACACCCATGAAATCAGAGACAAAATGAAGCAATCAAGGGGAGACAAAAAACCACAGGTCTATCCATTCGAATGACAAACCATAGTTACTATACCGCATTTGATAGGTGTTTGCATTTTCAGTGCACTCCCGAGTCCACCAAGTACATGCATGGACCTCTGCCTTCTTTTCGGTGAACATTCTGGCTTCAGCCTGCATTCCCCGTACAGGCTGATTTACCCAAAAACGTAAACCCCAGAATTCCAGCAGCCAAGGCCGTTAAACACACAAGGACGCAGGTACTGCCCTGACTGGTGAGAAACGCCCACCAACATTCGGATATGCCTTCGCGCTGGGAGAGACCCTGGAATGTGTGTCTGTGGCTCCCTCCACCCCAGGACCTCTCTGCGGATGTACTGATGAGTGAGCTCAGCACAGGTGCCACCACAGAAGGGGTGAATCACAAACAGGACCTGGGTCCAGAGCCGCTGCCCTCAGCAGTGACACGGCTCCCACAAGTCTTCACGCCGGCAGCCTCGCGTGGTCAAGATCTCAGGCAGAATCCTAGGAACCCGGCGGTGGGGTGGGCGGTGACGTAAACGTCGAGCACGAGCTCAAACCCATGGTCCTTGAGGTCCAGGCTCTATGTTCTCTTCCTGGAATCCTTGAGTAATCTGCCTTTTGCTCTGCTCTGCTCTTTTTCCTCCTGCTAAGGAGCAAAACCCAGTGTGAAAGCATCATCTCGGGTAGCTAAGGACCTCCTTCTCACTGCTTGCACATTCCTGAGACTGAGTCTTGGAGGAGAAAGGAGAAAGGAAATCACACACACACACATGGTTCTACTTGAACTATAAGCTTTATTATACTCGACTCATCATCCACCCAGCACATGATGAGTATGCACTTGCCGTCTCAGTCACGAAATGGCAGAATGCACATGCAGTCTCCTGCCCCATGTGAGGCCCACACGTGCCCGGCAGACTCTCTCTCAGCGCAACTTGAACGTGAGCCTGTGGGGCACCAGCAGAGCTGTCCTCACGTCTGAGCTGTCGCAGACCTGCTGGTGTTCAAGGGGTCGAGACTGACACTTGGCTTGGACTTTGAGTTTCTAATTTTACATTTTTAATTAGTTTGATTGTTTTATAGTCTCCTTTACAATCCAAAGTTCACCCACTCCTCCTGCACTCAGTCTGAGGATGGGATGTGTTACACATGATGCCATACTGAAATCGAGCAGAGAGCTGGTTTCAAGGTCACAGCTCAGGAAAGACTGGAAAAGTGTCCCATTTCTTCCAGCCTGGAGATCCGGAGCGTCCCCTTCTCAGAGGGATGCGGGAGTGGAAGGAAGGGCTTTGTTCTTACACTGGAGGCCAGAGCCGAGCACTCCCTCTCTGACCTTGCTGTACGTGTGCCCTGCCCCGCCCTAAGCAGCGGAAACTGTGGGCACTAATAAAGCTCACCAAAACCCATGCTTCGAGAAAGAAACAATTAACAAAGGATATTGAAAGGGTTCGACCAAAGCCCATCGCTGCCTGCTAGCGTGCAAACCTCCCACACGTGGCGAACTTCCCCAGCACCATGACAAAGCTCTCTTGCCTGAGGACTGTGACCCTAGATCCACAAAGGTGGAAAAGAAAAGAACTCTAAAGCTATAGAAATATAACATAGTAGTATGGGAAGGAAATTAAATGGCATGGTGAACCTCACCCACATGCAGAGCGAGCAGAGCAGGGAAAACTGGAGGCAGAACTGGAAAGAGAAATCCTCAGGACGCACACATTTGATCAAGGGCACAGCTCATAAAAATACCAATAATTTGGAATTTTCCTATAGGCACTTTATGAAACATGCCAACAGCAAGAAACGAGGCGACATCAGTGCCAACAGCCTGACCTACTGGCACTGAATCAATGTTCTCCAAGGGAAAGATGCTTGCGTTCTCCGGGCCCAAGAGAGCTGTGGGAAACACGGCCCGACACACGGGCGGGGAAGGAGGGAAGCAGCACGGAGCAGCTGGAGCGCTTTGAGAGCCTGGACTTCAGCTGGGAGAACTCAGAAGGGAGGCTGTGACATTTAAACCAGCGAAAGCTGAATTGTAACATGTTTAAAAGGTGGACCCTCGGATCTCCTACACTACAGTAAAGGCAGATGTAGTCTTCCAAAGCTCCATCCGGTGTGTTGTCCTGCTGGGTGCAGAGGAGCTTTTCAGAGGGACTAGAACGCTGAGGCGGCACGGGTGCTGCTGGGGAAAAGCCTCCCTGTTTTAGATGTTGGCAGCCGAGTGTTAAAGGAGTGGTTCCAGTAACCAGGCAGGAGAGCACAGCTGCTGAGGTCACCCACTTCGACCCGGGGGCAGCTGGGGAGAGACGCACTTATCAGTGGGAGAGATGGCATGTCCACAGAACCGGCCGACTGAACCTATAAATGATGGTAGGGTTTTCTGTTTTCTACAGCCAGAGCCCCCACAAAGCCAGCTGAGGGTAGGGATAATAAGCAAGTTGTAAGAATTTATATATCAATGTCCTTCCAAATAAAAAAGTCTTTATTATATTTTTAAATCACAGAACTCTGGGCTAAATATCATTAGAGAGACACACACACAATTATTAATTTCTGGAGTTGTCTACCACACTGTCTCAAAATTTGGCCTATACCTCAGGGAAAGTTTCCAGTTCAACCCCATACACCAACTTGAAATAAAAAGAAACGTGGAAGTCTTTTGGTTTCAGCCATTGTCCCGAAGTGCTATTACAGACAGACGATTTGTTGGGGGCCATTGTTGCCGGGTCAGAACTCATTCTGACGCAACCGGAAGGATGCGTGCACAACTCTGGGTGTGGTTCAAGGGTGACTCCACGTGCCTCCTGACCTGTGGGCTGTGACCTCTTTCCCTTTAATTGTGTAGCTTTGTTTTTCTCTACAGGGGTTGCCTTACAGTTTCAATAAAAATGTATCTTCTAGTCAGAATCACACCAGAGAGCAGGTAGTTTGAATGAGTATGCACAGTTATATATTAAGTCACTGAGCCTACAATTGATAAATCTGAACTCTGGGGTTACAACTCGAAATAAATATTATTTCGAGGTAAATAAACATTTGGCTGGCTAAGGAAATGCTTAATTTTCTTAAAATCGTAATTACGACCTGGACTTTCGCTTTATGCTACGTTCCAAGACAAAAATCAGGTAGCCTACGTCCTCACAATGGCTCACGGAGCATCCCTCCCTGCTTCTCCCCTCAGTGCTGAGAAACCACTCCAGGGCCTGGACGTTGCAGTCCCGGGCGGGGCGTGGGGGGAGGGGCGTGGGGGGGGCGGAGCAGAGTCACTGGTGCTCAGCCAGGCAAAGACTGCCTCAAGCCCCGCCCTTGACTAACACCAACTGCTCCTCTAAGTCTGACAGTGCCTCGGTGGAGGCATCGCTCAGGGACAGTGCGGGTGTCGAATGCAGAAGCTAAGGTGAGCTCAGAGGCAAGGACAACTCTGTCCGTGGCATCAGACAACACAGCGGAACGTGGACGATGGGGCCAGCCATCTTCTGGACGCATTGTCACCATCCTCAGAACCCGCATGCTTCTTTTTCTAATCAGGAAATCAAGGGTGGAAGGAACATTCCTATATATTGCTCACCAACACCTTCTTCACAGAAGTGAAGCTATTTTAAGAATATAAAAAGCTTTTCAAGACATCTGTTTTCAGAGGCAGACCACATACCAGAAATGCTTTTCCGAGCTGGTTTGTTCTAAAGCCTATCCCAAGAACAAGGACAGCCAACTTCTGTGAGCTAACAAGACATGTTCTGGCACATATATTTTCACTTTCCTAGTGTTACATGCTGTCTTCAAGTCCAACTGTATTTGATACATAGGTATCTGATCCTTTCTGTCAGCAAAAAGCGGAACAATTAAAAGAAAATCCCAAGTTGATATTTGTGTAGACTGAAGGTAGAATTTTGGTTGGTTGTTTTTTATAACTCAGAACACGGATGAAATCAAAACGTCCCTAAATTCACATCTTTGCAAAGTCCTTTTCTCCATTCACATGAATTCATCTGAATCGTTGCCGTCCTGTAGGAAACAAAAAAGTGAAACCATAAAAGCCTTCAAAATAAATAACTCAGTCTGTAAAGTTTATAACTAAGTGTTAAGTAACAAGCCTCCTTATGCCTAATTGTCAAGTTCAGAAATAAGAGTAAAATAATTAAATTCACTCACAACTTTTCTACCTTAAACTGTCAATTGTTCAGAAAGGCGGTGAGCAGCTACACGCCCTAAGGTGCAATCACGCATTACGTGGCCCAGATCGCACAACAGGCACCAGCGATGCCCTAACTGTGAACAAAGGCCCGGCCGAGGGAATACAGGGTGCGGCGAGAAAACTCGAGTGTTCCTTCGACAGATCCGCCACATAACACCACATGCCAACGATGTGCTGGTATGCAAAAATATCGGGAATTTGCAAAAATTTAGGAATTTGTCCTAAATTCAACTATGTTGAGCTGCAAAGGTTGTCACATATTTGTGACTTCACAGATGGCTTTGATTTTTTTTTTAAACTTGGGAAAGTCATTAGGAAGCCACAGACTAGTTGCTAAGTTACCTGGCTTGCCAAGTTTTTGATAAAAAACCTTACATAGTTTAAATGGACTGATTTGATTATGTGGTTTTCAAACGAGTCCTGAAGAACAAGTATAAAAGCACAGCCTAGAATCCTCTCTGAGACACTGTGCACGCGGAGAAAAACCTGCTCTGAAGGCCGGCACCCGCTGGCAGTGCAAGTTCTGGTCCATCCGACCGAAGACGTCCCAGCTGGAACACGCCACTTGTTCCCGTGTCTCTCCCTTTCCCACTGCAGGACAGTGAGTTGTTAGAGGAAGAGAGGATGTGGGCTTATGGGTAGACATACTTTTCTCCTTCTTAGCAGCCTTATTTGAGGTGTGTGGGCAAATATGAGAGCCAGGTAGAAAACAATGGTTTCTGTGAAGTCTGGCTCAACCTCCAGTTTCATTCAGCAGTTTTGTGTGAGAGTCTCTTCGATTAGCACAAGGAACGAGGCCACAGCACACCAGTGGTGGTCTTCTGTGCAAGCACTAAAACTGCGACTGCCCCGAGCGCTAAACTGAAGAGCACAGAGAGGCTGAGCCACCCGCCTCTCTGAAGGCTGGCTTTAGATCCCGAACACCGAGAGCGAAGAACTCCCCGAGATAATTTAGGCTGGGGCAACGAAAATGCAACACTCCCCATAAAGGTTGTGCGATACATTCGCAAAGAGTTCCTGTGTGTCTGAGAATCTGCAATTTGGGATTACGGTAACTTTTAAATATATACCTGAGATCAGGACAATTTTTATATTTCAGATTCACTTTAAGAGTCAATATGTTTTTCAATATAGCAAAAATAGGTGTCTTGTCATCCACTTATAAAATGATAAGCAAATAAAATGTTCACAGGAGTTGTTTATGATTCCTGATACCAGATTTAGAAAGACTAGAAAGAAATTAGATTGAAGAGAACTAATCTAAATAGGAGAGCAGAAACAAAATTAAAACCAGCTTCAGACTGAAAGACTAATAGTTTTCTCACTGGTAAAAGCTAAATTAAAAATTATCTTACATAAACACCAGCATTTAGCTGAAAAATCCACTGATTGTTACCGAAGATAGTTACAAGGAGAATTACAGCTTTTCCTTTTGAGGTAGGGAAAAAGCTCAGAGAGCCCTTCCGGCAAGAAAGAATCAGAGCACCCAGTGCAAAGGTTCCTTGGAAACTTGAACTGGATTCAAACCCGGGTCAGGAACAGGGGTAGCAGCAACAGCAGGAGAAGGAAAGCAGAAGGATTAGTAATCCTGTGGTTAGCAAATCTGATTTCCTAATCCTGAAATTTTTAATATCTGCTGAAATAAGATGGTGTTTGCATATATATGTGTATTCATATGTGTGTATGCTGTGTGTTGACTTCATAATTCTAGGACAACATTACAACTTAAAAAATCCATAACAATAGGAATGAAGATGCTTAAAACTGTAACATAACGTAGGTGCCAGGCTTCTGCTGGAAAGCTGCCCCTAAATAGCAGAGACCTTTGATGAGCCACAACCGCCACAGCAAGGTCAGGAGACTTGAGGCGTGGTGAAGACTGCTGTCTCTCTGTTCAACTACTCTGTGGGTTCCAAGGAACCCAGTGGCTTCCAGAGGAGATTAAACCCATCTCCTGTTTTAATGCTGGTATTTGGTGGGGTGACAGGAACAGGAAACAGTGATGACGGCTTGCGCTCGCGGTGATTGAGCCTGAGGAGCGCTCCCGCGGGTGCCCGCGTTTGACTCTGGAGCGCCCGAGAGGCAGTGGCTCCTCCCCACTGCGGATGCACACCCCTCGGAGAGGTCCAGTAACTTCACTAGGCTTGCTGAGTTAGTGAACAACAGTTTAAGTCTCTAAACTTCAAATTCAAGGCTGTATTTAGTGACATGATGATGCTCTACAATTTTTCAGGAATAAATTATAAAGATACATTTCTGACTCATAAAGAAGCCTCATTAAATTTAGTTCTTCACAAAGATAAAGATATTGTTCTTATTCAGTTTAGAAGGGTATATAACATGAACAAGATATAAAATCCTATCAACAATTTCAATTCATGCATTATTTAAATATGGGGTTTGACTGGATGACCTTTAAGAGACTTTGAATTCTGTTAATTATTTCCAAGTATTAAAGCAGTGCTATTTAATAGTACTTTCTGCAATGATGGAAATGTTCTATTTATGCATTAATATCGTAGTCCCTGGCTACAAGCAGTAAGTATGACTAAGAAACTGAATCTATGAATCAAATGAAATTTTAATGAACTTAAATTTAATAGCCACATGCAATCAGTGCCTGGTGCATTGGAGAAAACAGATCTACAGCACATATTTGTAAACTATACTATAAGACATTCAATATAGCACATGCGTCCACTCGGTCTCAGTTCTGTGCAGAGAACAGTTTAGCATAACCAGGTGCTGACGCCAGGAAGACCCTTTCAGCACCACAGCACTGACCACCGTTTCTCTTTACCACAGGTCCCAGGGATATGGACACCGCCGGTGCAGTCGCTGGACTACAGGTAAGATCTTAGGGTTCGTACTTCTGCTTTATTTTTTAATCGAAGGTGGTAAGTTTGTTGTCACTCATTTGTAATATAGATTCCACGGTCACATTAATACAGAACACTGACCCATACAGGCACTCTGGCATGTCTGCAGCTAGAACGGCGGGAAAGGAGGCCTGGGAAAGTCCTGTGAGGACTAACAGACCCACACGTCACAACAGACAACACATGACACCAGGGGACCTACTTAAAGACAAACACGAGGAAGTCCACAGGAAGGAGAGGCCCAAGAGCCCCATTGCTGCTGCTAACTCACATCGAGCCACGTGCCACATGTCGGTCAGGACTGGCCAGCAGCTCAACTGCCAAACACTCGCAGTGAATTATTTCAAGGTACAACGTAAAAGCAAATAACTTGAGCATACCTGATTTGAAGACATATTCTCAGCTTTCATTAGTGAAGAATAGCTCCTGGAAGAAAAAAAAATTAAATAAGGTTATACGGCTGGCAAGTATTAGGTGAACATTACATGTATCCAGCACCACTGAGGGTCTTTCAAAGAAAAAAGTCCCTGACCTCAGGGAGACTGCAATATAGAAAGGATAAGTATCTATAAACAATAGGACATGCATAGCACTTCATAGGTTATGAACCGCTCACTAATACTCATTTCAGGTCCCCTCCACAACTGTGTGGCACTATTCAAACGAGGGAATTCTTCTAAGGCCAAGAGCAGACATGACTCACAGCTGCAGTACACCGGCCAAACTGCAGATGCAGGGACTCAAGGGAGGAAATGCACCGAAGTGGGTGTGGTTGTGGGGGCACTGTTCTCAGGTGGGGTAGGACCGAAACTGAGCCCAGTGCATGGGGATGGGTGAGGGGGAGCGATCCAGAGGATTGTAAGAACAAAGGTACATACATGGTATCTATGAGGACATTTCAAACCCACTCAAGTGGGGTCTGAAAGCCAAGTAGGGGAAATGAGGCTAGATGTGTGGGGCCCGACTGTGTCGTCCTAACTGTGTGAGCTGGCACAGTGTGACCAGCAAGAAGCCACAATACACAGCACAGCAGAGGGGAGACATGTGAGATTTGAAAAGTATTAAATATCCATGAGATAGAAGATGCTGTGCTGAGCCTGGGTGGAGGATGGGATGGGAAGAAAATAGAAAAAGATGACTAAAACAAAGCCTCACACCCAAAGAATTTATCAGGAGGGGAAATAAGATCTATTCAACAATAGACATACACAAAGTTTCTATTAAAGATACACAAAGAAACAAGAGACAATAATACTAGTGTTTTAAAAAGAACAATCTGTAGCAGAGAGAAGAGAGGAAAGGAGATTAAAGCAAAGATCAGTTAATAGCCACAGTATTTACCATTTACTAAGTATCCTTTGTTTGCTAGGGCCACTGCTACGTGTTTCATAAGTTACTGGCAACCCCCACAACCACCTTCTAAGGCAGTGCGTCATGTCCCCTGCAGGCACAGCAGGCAGAGGCAGGGAAGTTATCCAAGGTCCCACAGCTAACAAGTGGAAAAGCTTGGAACCCAGGTCTGCCTCCCAGGTCACTCGCGCCCTTGCCTTCATGGTCCACTCAGTCTACTGCAATATCCTGGCCCAAGGGAGTGAATCTGCAGAGTTAACAGTCGTGCGATAAGAAGGGGCAGATCTGGGAGGAACTGACCATGGCATCAGGGTTTCTAGCTTGGGTGAAATAATGCTACAACTGAGAGAAATGAGAAAGTGTTGCAAAGAAGATGTGCTTGGTTTGGGACAAGTCACTCTTGAAGTAATGGTGAGACACGTAAGCAAACATGAACTGTAAAAACTGAACACTGAGGACTGGAGGGCAGGAGAACTGTCACAGTGAGAGACAGACAACGAGCTGCGGGAAGGCATCCAGAGGGAGATATTAGCAGCAGTAAGTGGTATCTGTGAGAAATAAGTAAACGGATTAAGATCAATAAGCTGCTTGAGAGGAAAGAGAAAGATATGTTGATTAAAAAGTGGTTAGAACAGGAAATCCCAACACGGGCTGCACTTTAAAATCACCCGTGAAGGTTAAAATATATTCAGATGCCCCACTGTGGGCATCTATAACCTTCGTTCAAGGACCACTGGGTCTAAACTAAATTCCCACGTAATGAAGGCAACACACAATTCACCCTCCTTTAGCACTTCCTCTGACTCCCATCCATCCCATTAGTCCAAGGGCCTGTCTGACATTTTTTGGATGCCTCAAGGCTATTTTCGGATTCACATACCCACACCCAATTCATGGTCTTTCCTGCTACCAAGGACGGTCCGGTTCTTCCCAGTACCCCTCCCAGCACCCTGCCAGCTCAGAGAACTGCATAGCTTTCTACTCCACGTCACAACCAGAGACCCAGGGGTCATTCCTTCCCTGCCTCTCCCCTCCATCCAATCTATCTTCATTCAAACCCTGCCCTTTTATCTACAGAATTACTTGTCATCAATCCACGTTGCTCCACCTCCACATGGCCACCACAGTCCTAGGCAGCACTGCCTTTCACCTGGACAATGGCAACAGCTTCCTAACTGGCCTAGCCACACCCACCTGTTTCCCTTTCCATTCAGGTCAAAGAAGTAACCTTTCCAAACCACAAACCTTATCATGCTACCCCTTGCTTAATGACCTCATCAAACTCTCCGGATGAAGATGAACACGGTCAGTGAGGCCCTGCACAGACTGGTGCCATCCCGCAGGCCAGCTGCCCCAGACACGTGGGCCTACTTTCAGTCCTGTCTGCCTTGCTCCCTCCCGCACGGGGTCCTGCACACGGAGTTCCCTCTGCTTAGAGCACCCTTCCCATCCCGCCCCCACACCCCTCAACTAGTAGTGTGGATTTGGTGCAAGAACCACTGACTACCAGAGAAGCTAATTTCCGTTACTTATTCATCCATAACATGCTGACTACGCACTCACTGCATATGCAAAGCACTGGGTCACATATAAGGGGATACAGGATGCAAATATGTGTTTGTTTGAAGGAGCTTATCATCAAGATGAAGAGCTATGGTGTTGGGAACTGCCCTGCCTGGTTTCAGGAGCTGTAACCCCCCCATGGCTAAGGCTGAGTGAGCGACCTTCGACCTTCGGACCATAAGCCACTGAGGAGACAAAGCTTATCTTCCTGGCAGGGGTGCCGCCTCTACTCCTTTTACTTCACCCTGCCTGGCCCCCAGTGTTTGATCAGTTAGCCAATGATGGATAAGATTCCTCAAGGGAGGGATGACCTAAGACAGGTATGATCATGGGGACCCCCAGGGAAGGACTTGGGGGCTACAGAAAAGGGGTGATGGACCCTTGCCCCTCGGCTTTGACATAGCCTGAGTCCTCATTCTGTCTGTGAGAAGTCTTCTAATCTCCTGGCTGTCTTACTTCCCCTGCCTGACTTAAGCCAGAGACAATGCCCTAAGCCTGAAACAATGCCGGTGTTGGGTGCAGCCCTGTCCTGGAAAGGGCAGGTTCCCTAGGTCAATCAGGCCTAAGAAAGAATATGTAAAATCCCGTGAAGCCTGCTTTGTTTAGAATGCTCTCAGTGAAATGATAAGGGTCCAAGCAGGGAGTGAGTTTGTTCCCCAAAATTTTATGGCCATTTAACTATCTGACCCTGACTCAAAATAGGCCCTCGGAGTTCTTCGTATGTTAGCTATTGTTTGATCTTTACTGCCTTATAATGATTAATGAGCTTTACATATATGCCCTGTATTCCTATGCGAATTGAATCCAATAAAAGCCAGTTGAGGCAAGGGTCGGGCGCTCTCCTCTTGAGAGGGTGGCCGAGGCGCTCCAAGGCTTGCTCTTCCCTTGAGAGAGGAGACCAGCCATCCCTTTTCTTCCACAGGACTCGGTAGTCCGTGTGAATTTATTTCATCTCATCCATAACGCTGCAGACACTGCAGGCCAGTGTCCGCGTCACTATGGTACCCAGCATTGTTTATAGAAGGCAGCAGTAGTAGTGTGTCAGAGAGAACAAAGGGAGGCACCATTAAAACGGTCATTTCCACATCAGACTATGTCATCCTTTTAATCCGTGGTCTCACCATTACCTCTTCCTATGTGTTGCCACTAAACTCATGATCCTTACAAGCCCACTTCTTCCTGACAGACCAAGAAACCATTAATAATGGCTCCTTATGACTTACAGCGTGAAATTTTGGACTGAACAAAACCTTTCACTCTTTTTATTTCCCTGTGCATGGCCTTGACTCTGGCCTTGTCAACTTGTTCATTCCTTGCCTTACAGGCAGCATAGTATAGCAGAAGTATGAACTTTGGAATCACAGACTTGAGTTTGAATTCCTGCTTTAACATTTATCAACTATAACCTTTTATTTGTCACACATTAAACCCCCTGCTGAAGTGATCTGTGCTCCCAAATCAAGTTCACGTCAATGTTCGAACTGATGACACGTGAACCTGTGGGACTTACCACCTCACCTGGGTCTCGTCCTTCTCCGACTCCAATCAGCGGAGCCTCGGACCCCAGCGCAGACTTCCCAGACGCCCACTTTAAACTCCCCTGCGTCAGGGAGCCAGTGCCCCGCCCTTTGTCTTTTCTGATCTGTTACTCACGGATCCTCTCTCAACTACACTTCCCTGGCTCTTATTTCAATATCCACATGGTGAGCTTGATTCTGATGTTAATAAAGTTTGCTACAACACCACACAAGCCCAGTAGGAGATCACAAAATTAAAACAGGGCAGGTAAGCTTTCACTGGGTTACATCACCGGATGTAAGCACTGAGGACTTACGAGATCTTTGATATCATAACTTGTTGGGCTCCTAAACCACCTGCAGAGCAAGCAAATGCCCCTGTGCTAATTGTACTGTTTGATAAATCAGACTCTTTGCACTGTCAGTAAATAATACTCCCTGTACTGTAACTGTGTGACTAAAAAAACCTTTTTGTTCAACATGCCTGGGCTGGAACTAGGATTTCAGAAAGGCTGCATCACATATTATCCATTATTCTTATCACATGACCCCACTTGCTTGACCGTGGAGTCAGCCAACCATTTGCCCACACCAATCAGAAAACACATGATGTAAGTGTGGTCTCCTTTCCCCTAGCAAACCATCTCTTCGATCATCAGCCCCTTGCAACTTCTGTCTTTAGAAACCCTGCCCTATCCACAGGCCCCCCTCCCCCCTCCATCCCATCTTGGAGTGTATTCTTGGTTCATACCGAGGGCTATGTTCCCTGGTTTGCAAATCATTATCTGAGTAAAATTTTTAAATTTCTCAAAAGGATCCTTCGGACTTCTGTGTACTGTGCAAATTGAACTCCTCAGATGACATGACATCCCTATGACTCCCTGAGGGAGCTGCGGGCATTCTTCCCAGCGTGTCAGGGAGAGACGGTATCCTCTCCAAGTCTGGTTTGCTGTGTCTGTGTACCACCTGCACTAGTGTGAACACTTATCTTTATACTGACTTTATTTCCACTCCTTTTCCACACTTTGCCCAGCTCTAAGCAGTAACATCCATCAAATCCCAGGTAGGATGTGCTGTTTTTTTCTAATACTCATTAAAATAATTACATAACTCTTAAAACACATCTGGGGACATGCAACCTGAACTCATCGCCTGTGTCACCAGTGATATTGTCGCCACACTTGGAGTGACTTGATCCTGAGCTGACTGTCGACTTACATGAGTGAACAAAAAAACGATCACTCTCAAACACACACACACACACACGCCCTCCCGGCGTCTGCGGGAGACCAGTGGGCACCAGCCTGAAGGGCTTCTCCGAAAGCTCGCTATCCGAAACCAGACGCAGACCAAAGGGAAGACGTCCTGCTTCTCTAACTCTCTGGGAAAGACCACTTCCGAGACTCCACGGACTTTCAAACTCTGCACTGGGTCTCCTCTGCTACTCTCTCTGAGCTCTGTGTGTGGCTTCCAGTGCAGCAGGCACTCCTCCCCACACCCAGCCCCGAGCAAAGACTCTCTGAACTAACACCCCACTAGCTCTTAGGCTGACAGGGCAAATAGGAGCTAAAGAGCTAACGAACAATATGGGTAAGTGAGAATGTTAAGTCTAAGGAAGGGACAATTTTCATTATTGTTTAAATGAATAAAATGATTAACAGAAAGTGTTAATATACTGGCTACTACCTAACTTTCCAACAACCCAAATATTCCTAAAAACTACCTAAAAAAGGATGAGCAGTATGCAGACCAGTTTACACGATCAGACCGTTACAATTTCTGCATGCTGAGGACAAGGAGTAAAGCGCTTGTTTGCAAGGACCCAATGGAGCTCCAGGGGCTACTGCCCTTTTAAGCAAAGAAGGAAGGCAGTGCCCTCTTTACTGTGGGTTTTGCTCTGTTCACGGCTGGGCAAAGGGCTGACGGATACGATCCTGACTAGAGCTCCAAGACCCTGGACTCTACAAGAACACTCCCATCCATTTTTGCCCCTCGTAGAAACTAGAAATAGAAAGCTTTCTGTCATCCTTGTTCAAAAAGTTAGAATGGAGTCCAGGGTATAAATAATAGTGTTAGACTTGGAAAGAAGTTGGAATGCAGCTCTTCAGAATAGTGGGCTAAGTACTTTTTCACTGAAATCACATGGAAACACTGGGGGTACTGCCTGGGATGAGAATATTTTCTTGATGTATCTGTGGAATCCCCCCGAAGATTCAAAAGTCAATTTCTTAAGCAATCACAGCAACTAAAGCGGACATTCCTTACCAGATGGTCCAAATAAAAGAATCAATAGTTGGTGAAATTCAATGGTATTTTCACTGTCAAAAAGCCAAGTGAAAGACTTTAGAACAGGAATATTTTATAGGCATAGCATTTGATCTCTTGGGTGGAAGAGTCCAAGGCAGAAACTAAAGTGATGCTGGCACTAGGAATGTAAACACGGACTAAACGACATGAGAAGCCTGATGTGGCTGGAACGTGTGGCTGGAATTTCACAAAAGCTGCAGAAGACGGCACGCCGCCCACAGCTCTGCACGTGCCAAGCACACCTTCGGTGCGTCGCAGCGCCTCGGTCCCTCACGCTGCAGTTCTGCTTCACGGTCTCCTACCTTGGGCAGCACGTGGAAGTCATGTCTGCGGCACATGTTTCACAGAAGTAAACACACCAACTGGCTCTGGTTTTCTGAGGCCCACGATAATTTATTTAAAATGAAGCAGAAGGGATAACACTGCATAGGAAAACATGGGCTAGAAAAGTGACTTCAGTTCCACTTACATTTTCCTTTTTATATACATGCACCAGAGTGATGTAAAAATCTGCCTGAAGAAACACAGGGAAAAACTACAAGCGTCTAGATGCAGCTTAGAAAATGGGAATGATGAATAATCCAGGTTTCACGGAAACTGGGTCAGAACATGGCAGGACAGCTCATGTTGATACTACACCATTACCCAAGGGAGTGACACACCAAAACCTCTTTTTCTTTTTGGTATACTTAACACAAGGTATCTATGGGGAACTGTAGGAAAACCTAGGATGCTGTGACTAGAAGTCACAGGGTCAACCTCCTCCTTTCACCGAGAAAAACGAGGGGCCTCTGCAGGCAGAGAACTATACACACCTACACAGCTCAGTGAAGAAGGCAGAACAATGATCCTCCCCAGAGACGTCCACAGGCTCATGCCCAGGACCCATGAACACGTGGCCCCATACGGCAAAGGGACTACTTTGCAGATGTGATTTAGGATCTTAGACGGGGAGATACTATCATGGATTATCTGTGGGAACGCAAGGTCACCACGCTGGAACTTAGAAGCTGAGAAGCTATGATCGAAGAGGGGGCCATGACCGTGGAAGAAAGGCCAGACATGCGGCGCTGCTGGCTTTGCAGACGGAAGGAGAGGTGGAAAGCCAAGAACTGAGGGCGGCCTCTAAGGGCTGGAAAAGAAAACAGAGTCTCCCCTCGAGCTCCAGAGAGGAACACAGCCCAGCGATGCTTGGATTTGAGCCCAGTGAGAACCACATCAAACTTCTAACATACAGGACTATAAAATAATAGACCTATGTTGTTTTAAGCCACTAAATTTGTGGTAATTTGTTATAATAGCAAGAGAAAACTAATGTAGTCAAGTGTTCTCATGGCCATATACACTAGAATTTCAAGATCCAAATTATATTTTAACTACTATTTATTATTTTAAAATGCGGTGTTTTGGAGCAGACCTCACTGCATTCATTACTCTAAACTTTGAAAATGTAAAAAAGAGGTCTTAAAAACCACCTTTCCGAGTTACTTGCACTGGCCTTTAGAGCTGAAACAACTTTATTTAAATATCATAGCTTGTCAATGTTAAACACTTAATATAGCATCCCTTCTTTTCCTGAAGATGTTTACCAACCACACTTTGAGGATTACTTACGATTGTTTATCCAAGAATAAAATAAGCTATTTTATTTTATACACTCTCATATCTTGCCGCTATAGAAGGGCCATTCACTTGACCAACACATTTGTACAAATGCCTTGTTGAGTTATTTAAAGCTCTGAGCTTGTTATATGTATATCATTCCTCCACCAGTATGTCATTCTTTTTTTCCTTCTTCTTCAGTATATCATTCTTACAGGCTAATCCTTGATTAGAGTCACAGTGAAGTCTCTTCAAGGTCAATACCAATTCCAATACCAATTCCAATACTAATTCCATAGCTCCAACGTACCTAAGTTCATCCATTTCCCTCTTCTTCTTCATCTCTTCCTTTTCCCTCCTCTTCATTTCCTGAATTTGGGCCTTTTTCTCATTCCTCTCCTCGCGGTCTCTGCATTCCTTCTCTGCTGCTAGGTCTGGGAACCGCTCTGTTTTAGTCTTTTCTAATCGGTTCAAGATCTCATTCACTTTCTTCTCCACTGTCACAATTTTTACCTTTGAAGGAGAGAGGGGAATAATAGTGAATCTTTACTCTATGGTTATCCCCCAGAACGGAGGAGAGGCTTTCCAGGGGCTTAGCAACCCAGCTTAATTCCCTCTAGAAAACATCCGTCACATGCTGAGAACCCGACAACAGAGACGTCAGACAGAAACTACCTGCTCCACTCGGGGGCAGGACCCCGCCTCCCTCGGCGGCACAGAACACTTACATCCTTCTGCCTGTGAAAGCCTATCTGCCCCACGTCCATGTCAGCCGTCTTCTTCAGGTTAGACCACGGTGTATACACCACGCTAACGTTGTTCATCTTGCAGCCTGCCGAGAGAGACGGTCGTCAACATGCAGGCAGGATGACACTGAACAAAGTGTCAAATTTACCCACTGGCAAGTTGTGAAAATCCAACGAAGGGGCAGCATAGAATGAACAAGGCATCAAGTGCTTCAAACCATGAAATACTTAAAAAAAAAAACCCACAAAAGGCAAATGGTAAAGTTGACAAACACAATTCAAGCAAAAGCACTACAGTGGGGCCCAGGGTTTGCTTCAGGGACTTCTGAGACTCACTAAAATTGAATGCACATTTATTATATGCATGTTACAGAGAAAATGCCCAAACAGGTTTGCTCAGATTCTCACAGGAGTCCTTGATCCAATAAAGGTTAAGCAGCAAGACAAAGCAGAGTCATGGCCTGGGATTCAAGACACCCGCGCTCTACCCTGGCCCTGCCACGCACAGGCTGCGTCACTTTGGGCAAGTCCTCATGGCTCTCACAATCTCATCTGAAACATTAGGAAACTGAACACTGTAGTAAAATTTTGTGTGTTTTTTTAGCTTTCTTTTAGCAGTGGAACCTCTTTTACATATCAAGGTGATCAAAGCAGAGATGCTCCAGATGAAAGGGATGCCAGGTGCCCGGTTTGTTCCTCCTCCTCTCCCCTCCCTCCCCACCTCCAATAGCCCTTCTACATCGACAGCCTCCAGGCAGCTCGCAGGATCAGTTTAACTGCTGGGCCAACACTCTTTAAAGCCCTTTGAGATTAGATGGCAAAGCCTGTGTATTTTATAGTTTATTAAACCACTCCATACATGGGAGAAATCTGATGATCACAACCTTGCTTCGCTTATGAAGTATTCCTGCCTGAAAATTCATGACGCTATCCTACGCAACAGGAAATGCCAGACTAATCCGTATCCTGGCATATCCTATACCTGGTCTGCACTCTAACAGGCTCCATGTCCTGAAAGACAAAGAGGTGCCTCTAGATAAAAGAGACTAGAGGCATGACAAGGAAAGGTAACACGTGATCCTGGATCAGAAAAAAAGCTACAGAGGGACAGGAGGTGGGACGCTGGGAAAACGTATGTACAGACATATGTACCTGTGTATCAGGTAACAGTATTTGCTCCATGTCAAATTTCCTTAATGGATCACTGTAATGCAGTTACTGAAGAAAATATCCTTGTTCTCAGGACAGAAATGATGAGTGTGATCTACAGTTTCTTTTATATGGTTCAGCTATAAAAGTTAATCATGAGTGTGTTACAGAGAGAAAGGAAATAAATATGGAAAAATTGTTGAATCTAAATGAGGAGTATATGAGAGCTGTGTTTTTCTTGCAACTTTTCTGTAGGTTTGAGATTTTTCAAAATAGAGTTTTTAGCAAGTCTCCAACATGCACGGAGGATACAATCATGGATTAGACAAGGGATCATGCCTTCTAAGACTATAAAGGAGGGCAGGAGAGTACCCGAGTAACTGCAACTGGAAGAGAACTCACCAAATGTCAGAAAGCTACAGGTAAGGTGCTAAGGTGGTACAGAGGGGCAGTGGGCGCTCAACGGGAGGAAGGGAAAGGCTCCATGAGAGGGTTAATACAGCTTAGTGGGCAAGACAGCAGACTTTTCAAGTCAGACTGTCTTGACTTCAAATGCAGCCCCTACTACATGGCAGAGCTCTGACACCTTGGGCTAAGTTCCTTAATTCTCTTTAAGCTCTGCTTCCCTATCTATAAAATGACAATAATAATCTTTAATTTATCTGGGTTGATAAATGGAATAGTTTGTAAAGTGCTAAGAATATAATTAACATTCAGTGTTAGTGAGTACTACAACTATTATGTGGACCTTGAAACTGAGCTTGGATCTGGACTTGCGATGATTGACAAGAAGTACAAAATTGAGAGCAGAGGGAACAATACAATCTCGTGCCATGTAACAACGTTTCAGTCAATGACAAACTGCCTATGATGGTTGTCCCATAAGATTATAATGGAGCTGAAAAACTTCTATCGCCTAGTGATGTATAAATGGCATTGGGAAGAAGATGCTCAAGAGGTTCATCCATGACTTCCAAGAGTTTGTCAAGGACAAGGAGGTCACAAAAAATCAACAAGGCTATGGTTGAGATGGCAACCAACTTCAACTTGGGTGTGGATGAGGATGACATCAAGGAGCCCTAGAGGTGGCTCCTGAGGAACTGACTAATGAGGGGTAATTGGAACTGGAACAGGATGCATAGCTGAAGATGAGTCAAGAGAATAGGAAACTTTAGAATAAGAAAATGAAGAACTCTCAAGAAAATTTGCAATGAAGGAGGTTGTAGCAGAAGCTTTTGCAAACTTTAGTAAGATCCTTAAAAAGTTAGAAAACATGGACCCCCAACACGGAAAGGTTTTCATTAATAGAGAAGGATATTTACGGTGCCTTATCTGCTTATAAGCAAATCTGTGTTGGAAAAAAAAAACACCAAGCAAACACCATGGACCTTTTTCTGAAAAGAGTGATATCTTAAGAAGAGCCTCCCTCCAGGAGGTGGTCCAGGGGAAGCAGTGTTATCACAGGAGACAACAGTTCTGTGGGTGTCATCGCACCTGGAGACCCTCCTGTGGGACGAGACGTGGAGATGGGAGACGGTGACACTGGCGATCCCGACTCTGTGTGGGCCTCGGCCAATATGTATATTAGTGTCTTCGTCTTTAACAAAAAGTTTAAAAAGTAAAAAAAAAAAAAAAATTCTTTAATAAATTAAAAATGGAAAGAAGCTTATAAAATTATATAAAAAGAAAATATTTTTGTACAGCTGTACAGTGTGTATTTTGAGCTATTATTACAAAGAGTTAAAAGTTAAAAAATTAAAAAGTTACAGTAAGCCAAGGTTACATTGAAGAAAAATATTTTTTTATGAACTTGGTGCAGCATAAGGGCACAGTATTTATAAAAGCTATAGTTGCGCACAGTAGCATTTCTAGGTCTTCACTCACCCAGTGACTTACTCTGGGGCAACTTCCAGTCTGTTCACGCTAAGTGCCCTACACAGGTCTGCCCTTTTTTATCCTTTATACCACATTTTTTACTGTACCTTTTTTATGTTTAGATACACAAATACTTGCAATTGTGTTACAATTGCCTACAGTATACACTACATTACATGTTGTACAGGTTTGCAGCCCAGGAGCAATAGGATATATGTGTAGGAGGCTACACCATCTAGGTTTGTAGAAATTCACTGCATGGTGTTTATACAACGATAAAACCGCCTAACGATGCATTTCTCAGAATGTATCCCCATCGTTAATCGACACATGACTGTAAAAGCAAAGGCACAAGGTGGGAAAACAGCAAATATTTGCTTTGGCTGGAGTGTGAAGTATGTGAAGGGAAAAAGAGTTCTGTAGTCAGATCAAAGATGCTTAAAATGCCAGCGTAAGAAGTTTGGACTTAATTGTATAGACAAGGTGGGGTGTCATGAAAAGTGTCCAAGGTTTTAGAAAGTTTAATCTGGAAAGAGAGTAGAAGATGAATAGAAAACAGGATCACCAGACTCTATGAAGACAAACAAGTCGAACCACACCTTCCTTGATGCTGAAGGCTGAAGGCGGTCAGCCGTGGAGGAAAATATTTTAACTCCACAGTGACACAAATGGAGCGCACTTAGCAAATCTCCTGGCACAGACACTCTTCTTCACTCCTCGGCATCCTCTGCTACTCACTCACGACAGTGAGACTCTTAGGCCTAGCTCCTTTTTCTGCTAAGTGAGCCACGGCTGTGAAAGGGGAGTGAGGAGAGAAGAGTAATTCTATGTCAAGGCTTCTCTTCTTGTTTTCTTTAAAACTAGTCATCTATAAAGAGATTAAGAAGAAAGAGGCTGGGCTAAGAAGCCCCTTTAAGAAAGTCACATCTGCTAGCCAGGGCAGAAGAGGTTGCAACACACAAGGAAAGAAGATAATGATGGTTTTAATTTACACCATTTTTAATGTCAATAACTGAGTATCTTAACTGGAAATCTTAGACACTGTTCTAACTCATGAACATGGAATGTCCCACCCTGGCCAAGTGGCTCAGTTGGTTGGAGTGTTTTCCAGTACACCGAAAGGTTGTGGGTTCGGTTCCCGGTCAGAGAACATACCGAGGTTGTGGGTTCGATCCCTGCTCAAGGCACGTATGGGAGGAAACAGACAGATGTTTCTCTCTCACATCAATGTTTCTCTCTCTCCCCCTTCCTCTCTCTCTAAAATCAATAAACATATCCTCAGTGAGGATTAAAAAATTTTAAAAAAGTAAATGTCCTAAAACTAACTGCAACTTAATGATTTATGGAGTTAAGAGAAAGTCAGTGGCTCTACAAGACAAGACTTCCACTTTCTTCGACTTGGTACCTGAAACATTAAAGCTGCTTGAGTTAGACTCAGAAAACACAGTCTACGTGATGGAGAAGAGGGTACACCCCTCAGTTCCTGTTTTGTAGTCACCAACCCCTGGTGCCTGCTCTTGGCTGTGTGTCTGCCCCATGCTATCTTCTACCCAGACCTTCTTTCTTTCCAACCCTCTGGATCTTCTCCAACTTCATTTCAAACCAAACTTACCTCTACCCTATGCAGGTCTATGTCCTATGCCTAAAATCCAATCTACTCACTCAAACATTCCCAGCAGAACACCATCTCCTGGCTCCCCTTTTTAACTCCCACCTCCACTCAGTAACTGTCCTTCTCACCCCACACTACTGACAGGTTAAGTCCTGTACAGTAGGAATAAAGCACCACGCCCAGCACCACAGGCCCTTCCTAAAACACTTAACACCAATGGTTCTCAAGCCCTCTGCACTCAGAATCAGCCGGAGAGCTCTGGCAGCAGCTGATACTCCCGGGTTACCCCAGATCAGTTAAATGAGACTCTCTGGGAGATAAAGATCAACTGAGCTGATACCTTCAGTTTACAGGGAGACAAAAGTTAGGGAGATTAAGGAAGGAGAAAAGCAGGAAAGAGTGATTTGGAGATTTGAGCTGTAGTATCTAATGACAAACAGTGGAAATGAAGACATCAAACATTAAAAATAAAGCCACGAGACACATTTCTTCCTTAGCTACTAACATAACTTGATTTCCAAAAGTCTCTCTACAAATAACCTTAAGGATGGGCAACCTACTATTTGAGATAAAGAAAACAAGGTAAAAAAGAGTTGAGATAGGGCCGTAAACATGAGAGGGGAGGGGAGATCAGTCTTTAGTTCTTTAATAGGAAGCAGAACTGCCATCTTAAAGAACATGTTAGTCCTTCAACTCAAGCCAAAGTCAGAAACATGTCCCCTACAATGTAATCCACTTCAGACACAGAGAAATCAGTGCTAATTCTGAAAACACTTCTAGGAAAACTGACCTTGAATGCTATTGGCCTTCACAAGATGGGCACAATCCATTAATACTTCCTTTGGAATGTCTTCTATCTTCTCCCCCTGAAACACAAAAGTAAACCAAATGGTCCAGGACTTTGTTACTGATCGACACTAGAGCACTCACTGGGCTTTGTGGCCTCACCAGCCACAATGTTATTAAAAGCAGGGGCTCTTCAACTGTATTTCAGAGCATTGAAAAATGAAGTCTGTTACAGGAGTGTTTTAAACTAAGAAGGCAGTAATATGGAAAATATTGATAAGTAAGTGAAAAATACCAACAGAGAGTATAAAAGAAAACTACTAAAATATTAACTGTAATTATGTCTGAGTAATTTCTCCCTCTTTCTTCTCATTCTTACTTCTGGAAACCTTGTGGGGAAGCTTTCAAGACACCTGGATGTGTTCTTAGCTGAGGTCCCGTATGACTTTCCTCTCAAAAAGACATAGTTTTGAGTCTCCAACATCTATCCTCAGTCCTAATCAGGAAGCAAGCTCTTGGTGTGTTAAATAAAACCATCCACTGTAAGGGAGAAATAATATTGATTCTTTCGTCTACAGATACTGTATCAAAGTCAAAGCTGAATAAGCAAAGCCTTCCCAGAAGAACAAAAATATCTGAGGCAAGAGTGAATGGAAATCAACTCGGTATTGACTCCTACCAGGCATGAGATTACAGAAGCACTTCTGTCTGGGAAAGAAATGTTCTACCTACATAAATATTTTAGATAAATTACGGGTATTTCATTATGCTTCTACATGTGTTTTTTTGGTTTATATTAAATGTTTTAAATAGGAATCTCTCAAATACACAAATTTTGACCCAAAACTATGTGATTAAAATTTGTCCCTATTTTAAAGATGTATCTTGAGCCCTGACTGGGTAGTTCAGTTGGTTAGAGGGTCATCCCAATATGCCAAGGTTGTGGGTTCAATCCCTGGTCAGGGCACATACAAAAATTAACCTATCAATCCATAAATGAATGGAACAAGAGATGTCTCTCTCTCCTCTCAAATCAATAAATTAAAAAAAAAAAAGCATATCTCATTTTGTGCAATTCCCTAACCACAGAGAGGATTCTGAATTTAATATCTGGATAATACAATGTCATCATTATGAATATCAACCATTACACTAGGCTATAATATGGTAATAGTGATGGCTTCAGGGGCCTTTTACAATACACAGGAGCTGACTGACCCTATGCTAAACAAATCAAAATTAAGAATTCAAAAACAAAACAAGAGCTACCAGTTTTTACATACCCACTGCATGCCAAGTACTATGTAAATAGACATATGAATGGATAGTAAGTATTATCTTCACTTTACCAATGAAGAAAATGAAGCCCAGTGAGGAAAGAAACTGGGCCAAGGTTCCAAATATGTAGTTAAGTGACAGAGCTGAGAGATGAACCCAGGACTAGAACCACGCTCCAGGAACTAGGCCCAGGGTGTGGCGCTTACAGAGTTCTTGCGGAACCGCTTCTTGGCCTTGATGTCAGGCCATGTTCCAACATCCCTCTGACCACCAGAGGCAGTCACTACTCCTGAAGCACTCTCCACTTCCTGTTCTGCAACTTTTAAAACAACATGAGCAGGAAAAAAAACTCATTCAGCTTAGCATTATGCATAAAATCAGAGTAAACAAACTACGTGGAGAGAGGTTAAGGTACTCTCAAAATGTAAAGATCAGAATTTGAACTGTGGGCTTTGTGCCATCTATGTTAATAAGATAAGAAACCTCTAGATAAGTGAGATATTTTCTATGGGTTTTCAAAAATCAAAATGCCTAGGAAAGAGCACAGCTGAACACCTATGATCTTCAAGGTTTGGGATGAATCCAACTGATAAATCCATCAATAGAAAAGGATGAACACATATAAGTGCTTAGCATGTGCCAGGCATTACTCTAAGTCCTTGAGATAGGCAAGCTCATTTCACCCTCACAGGGACCCAGTAACACAGGTACTGTCAGCTCCCGTGTACAGATGACAATGGGCCCAGCTGAGTAATTTGCTTCAAGTCACATAGCAAGGAGCAGAGCCGGAGTTCACACCCAGAGTCTGGGTTCTGAACCACTCAGTCCTACTGCATCCCCAACACTTACTTGGCACCTGCTAGGTACAAAGGGCTATGCCGTTTACTGCAGGGCATGGACCATGTAAGAGTTCCTTAAAGAGAATATATTTTTTACTGAGCACACTGTGTGCTTCCAAAAGAAAATAACAGTGAAACTTCTATTCAAATAAGCACCGTATCTTGCTGTGTATAATGCACATTTCACCCAAATTTTTGAAGGAAAAATAAGGATGCACATTATACGTGGGTATGATGATTACATACCACGGGCATAATAACGGTTATAATAATCCCATGTATAATGCACGCCAAAACGTGGGTGTGCACTGTACATGGCAAAATAGGGTAACAACTCGTGCTAATGTGAACTTGGGGCAACCACCATTACTTCCATTTTTCTAACACGGCAGGACCCAAAGGAAAATCTTTAACGTGAACCAAAAGGAAAGGTAATAAAACCACACTCTATTTTTTCCTAAACTTAAAATAGTTCAAAATGGCAAGAAGTAGCTTAGGGGAATTCAGAATTTTATTGCCGCACAGAGTTCACGGTCTCCGTCTTTCCCTTTACGGTGCAGGCCTCAAAGCGACAGTGCAAGGTGGGGCGTGGTGCTCACCCTGCTAGCAGATTAAGGGAGGAATATTATAACCACCATGAAAGTATGAAAGTGGGTCAGGTGGTTACTAAAATGGTCAAAAGGTTGTTGTTTTTTTAAATTATAGAATTCCCCAAAGTGTTTGGAAAACCTATAATTATCAGATAGCATTTTAAATTAGCAGAGTACTTTCAGAGAGTAATCTGACCTAAAAAGAGCTACCAAACTGTTTAGACCTTTTGACCCAGTACTTCCATTTCTGAGAATTACTGTAAAAAATAATTCAAAAGAAAAACAGAAAGCAGTTCACAAAAAGATATTTCTTACTGCAGGGTCATAATGCTAAAAACTGTAAATCATCTAAATTTTGATATAAGCTTTCTTTCTTTCTTTTTATTTTAATCATTGTTCAAATACAGTTTTCTCCTTTTTACTCCCAATCCAGCCCCCCCTCCCACCCCTCCCCACTTCCCTCCCATTACCACCCTCCCCTTAGTTTATGACCATGTGTCCTTTAAGTTTGTTCCCGTGAACCCTTCCCACTGTCCCCTGAAATTCCCTCTACCCTCTTCTGTGGGCACTGTCAGCCTGACCACTATTTCAGTGTCTTTGGTTATATTTTGCTTGTTTCTTTGTTTTGTTGTTTAGGTCCCTGTTAAAGGTGAGATCATATGGTATTTGTCTTTCACTGCCTGGCTTGTTTCGCTTAGCATAATGCTTTCCAGTTCCATCCATGCTGTTGCAAAGGGTAGGAACTCCTTCTTTCTTTCTGCTGCATAGAATTCCATTGTGTAAATGTACCACAGTTTTTTGATCCATTCATTTACTGATGGGCATCTTGGTTGCTTCCGGCATCTAGCTATTGTAAATTGTGCTGCTATGAACATTGGGATGCATAGGTTCTTTTGAATTGGTGTTTTAGTATTCTTCGGATAGAGTCCCAGCAGTGGAATCGCAGGGTCAAAAGGCAGATCCATTTTCAGTTTTCTGAGGAAGTTCCACACTGCTTTCCATAGTGGTTGTACTGATATAAGCTTTCATTAATTGTGGCATATTGCCAACTCAAAGCAGTTAGCCTATATATATATATATATATATATATATATATATATATATATAAAAATAATAAAAGTAACATGAAAAAGTTTATAAACAGTCACTTTAAAAGGTAATGCAATTGATCAGGGGACGCCAGGATGGCATGCCAACCGAGATGAAGAATCTAGCCGTATCACGAGCGTACGACACAGTGTCACTGAAGGGGTCTGGGGGGGCGGGGGGGGCGGGGAGGGGGCTTTTCAGTAAATCTGAAAAATTGTTTTGACTGGAAACTATAAGGCAACCCCTCCCCCCAAAAAACCCCTGCATACAAACACTGTACATTAGTTAATAAAGTTGTTTCATATAGGAAAATGGGTTAACAAACCTGAAACCACTCGCATGTATACGGGTGTCAAACAAATAAGCATATAAACGGTGGGGGAGCCAGGTGGCTCACTGTCTGAGAAGGAACCGACAGATAAGCAAGGCAGAAAGGCTGGAATGGATTTGTCAGGTACATTTGTATGAGCTTGTGTGTAGCTTGGTGTGGAGATGGAGAGATATGGAAAGGACTGTTCGGATGTGGATGCACGGCTGGTACACATACAAGTGTCTCCCAACTCTGTGTCAGGTGAGAGGGCCTCTGTGCAATTCTTGCCCCCAAACCTGTAACTCCAGTCTATGCCTGGCAAAAACAGCAGAAAATCCCAGTAGAAAATATTGACCAATGCTTCTCAAACTGTCAAGGTCATGAAAAACAGAAAGAGTGAGAAACTGTCGCAGACCAAAGACTACACAGACATGGCAACTAAATGCAAGTGGACCCTGGACTGGATCCTAGAACAGAAAGAGGAAGTTAATGGAAAACTGATGAACTCAAAACAGAGCCTGTAGTTTAGTTCATAGCAATGCACTAGTGTTGGCTTCTAGGTTCTGACAAATCTCCCATGGTGAAGTGAGATGTTAACAATGTGGGGAACTGGGTATGCGGCACGTGGGAGCTCTGCATTCTCTCTGCAACTTTTCTGTAAATCTAAAATTACTCCAAAATAAAACATTAAAAAAATACATATAACGAGTATATATACCCTATGATTCAACTATATAAAATATAACATATGCCCTGGCCGGTGTGGACAGTGGATTGAGTGCCCGCCTGTGAACCAAAGGGTCGCCAGCCAGTTTGATTTCCAGTCAGGGCACATGCCTGGGTTGTGGGCCAGGTCCGCAGTAGGGTGTGTGCAAGAGGCAACCACACATTGATGTTTCTCTCCCTCTCTCCTTCCATTTCCTATCTCTAAAAATAAATAAAATTTTTAAAAATAGTAAAAAAAAAACCCCATAAGACTATAAAGATACATTAGAAAAGTAGTGGTTTTGCCTTACTAGGAAAGATTACATTTTTTCCCTTTATTATTATAATGCTGCTTTAAACCTCCCAAAGCCCCTGATAACTGGGAACATCTGCCCTTGGTGAGGCAGGAAAATCACATGAGCTTGAAAAAAAGGAACCGCAGCACGATCTCCAATGGAGAAGACAGTAAGTACAGGAGTATCAACTGAAATGAAAGGGAGAGAAAGCAGAGGTGACAGAGAACACATTTGACCTGGCAGGACACAGCAGTGCTTCTACCTGGGAAATAAGTACTATGTCCAAGTCTCAAAAATCAGCAGACTCTCCCTGAGTGATTTTCTGGGTCAGGGGAAGACAGTTCTTAATCTAATTTCAGCCTTCTGTACATATTACTTAAGTGATTCAGTTGCGGAAAAAAGGAGAGGACAAGATGTGATGCTCATCACCAAAGAAAACGTCATGAATCCATGTTTAAGTCCAGTTACCTTATGTAATCGAAGGTATACATGAGCCGAAGAGATTTTGTCCACATGAAACCTACAAAGAATGAAAACCACTTTTAGCAGGAGGTACAAGACAGCCATCTCCTCGGGCCATTTGCATTTAAAGCATTCCTATCCAGAAAGTATTAACTCAGTGCCTAAGCACCATGGGGAGTATGAAACGCAGTCACTGCCTCCATAGGGCTCACTACCCACTGGGAGAGATAAGATGCACAGGGAAGTCCTGCGGCTGGGCGGGACTACGGCGGGACTAAGTGTCCAGACAAGTGCAGGAGGCAGTCAATGTTACAGCCCTGGGACGGGTGCTGTTTTAAGTGAGACAGCCCTGCCAGGGACCGAAGGCTTCACTGGCAATCAGACTTGGTGGGTCCCTGACTAAAGCACAGGACTTAGAGAAAACAGGGAAAGGAATTTCAGTTGAGAAGAGAGGGGAAGGAGGGCAGTCTGCAAGACTCCAATGCCGCAATCCTGAGAGACTTGCTGGACCACTGACAGAAACACCTCACAGCTGCAGACGGCACCAGTTGAGAGAAAGAGACGCAACATCCCGAGTTCTAAGCGATGGCAAAACAAAGAGAATGCCAAGCAGAGTTGGAAGAGCAGGCGAGGAGTGAAAGCAGTGAACAGACACATCACAGAAGGGGTCAGCCCAACGCTGCAACCAGCCTTAAACCCAGCGATGGCACCAGCACATGTCTCCTGGGACAGCATGGTGACTGCCCTTTACGACACTGTCCTAAAAACATTCTGAATGCCCACCTGCCCCAATGTCCTAAATTTACCTTTCACTAAGACTCTATCATCCACCAATAATTTCATTAACTCTTTTAAAATGTACTTTCTCACTTGGTCGAACACTTTGGGATATTAAGTTTTTCATACTCACAATTGACCAAATGAAGTTGACTATCTCTTTGCAATACCCAGAGATGCCCCAGAACCCCAGCACCAAACAACACCTCGCGACTGCCGCTCCGTTAACTCTGGCCGTCTCCTCCTCAGTCCTGACCTGCCCAGACTGAAGACTGTGGGGTCAAGCTCTAGGGGGCACCACTACCACCATCATATACTTCTCCAGGCACTTCCTTAGCATTAATGCATGTTTTAGAAGTGCAGTGGTCACACATTCACAGTGTGACTCTATATAAAGGTTAAGATTAGGCTGTTTCTAATGTCCTCTTTAAAGAGGATGAGCATCTTGCTAGTCACTTTGAATACAGAAACATATGCATTTTTGGCAGCCTATGATGACTCCAGGTTTTATTCTTAACCATTACTGATAACCAGAAATGAGTATAGCATCTAGTTTATTTTTTTCTAACTGCCTCACTGACTCATTTGCATTCCCATGTAAGAGAGTCCTACAGATTATCATCTTGAGCTAGGCATCCCCCCCCCAAGAAAATGGTTTTTTGTTGGTTTTTTTTTTTTTTGCAAATCTAGAAATTATATATCTCATTACTCTCAGGATCTTAGGAAAATACCCCATTAGTAAGCAAGCTCAATGAGAAGTGACTTCTCCCATTCCAACTTGCTTCCAGCCACTTCTCCATTTACAACTCTCCTGTGTACCCATAAGGGCCCAATTGTATTCTGATTTTTCTTAAAGGCCTTTGATGTAAAATTTTACCAAAAGAAATGCACAAATAATTCAATACATATCTAATGGATTCATACATAAGTAGTCAAAGTACTGAAATACACACAGAAACAGCAGGCTCACAGGCACACCTCCACCTAAAGGGCTGGGGGATGCGTAAAAGCAGGGGTCTTTGGTTCAAATGTAAAACACACAAAAAAGCCAGCTCTGTAAATAAACTATTTTCATTGTTTCCTTAAAAAAAAAAAGCCTTTCCATACCTCCCAAAATGCTTACTCGAAGTTTAAATTATGCCCACTAGTTCCCTCTTCTGTGTTCTTTCTCTTCCTGCTTAATCACCATCACCTTTGCCGAGTGCAGAGACTGCAGACTTCAAGGAAAGAATCAATGCCCTAGGGATAAGAGACGCAGGGCCCCGGAAGCTGGGTCATTTAACTTCCTCAAGTGGAATCTCTGAAAATACCACTCATTGTGGAGTTTGGAGCAAATAAGCAGATTTTCGACTTTCCTTTGTTTAAAGATGAATTTAGTTTCCTTCTCATTTAACGCTAGAAAAATCCTTTGTCTAAAGGCACCTCAGGAGGTTCCCTGGTGTGACTTCAGATGTTGACATTGGGGGGGGGGGGTGATGCACCAGAGTGAGGCAGTGAACCAGGAAAACCAGCCCTGGAATGCAGACCAACTGCATCCTTCCTAGCACGCCCCGGGACCCCAGGATGTTCCCAAGACTCACAATTTATGCACCAGTGCACCAGGACAGGTCTTGAATTTAGGGCTCTTCCGGCTCTCCTCCAACCTCAAATAGCTTCTGAAAGTCAGTCACTCACTTTCCACAATAGTCAATAATCTCAGGACTATTACAGAGAGTCAGAAAGGGCAAGGGGTGTCTAGGTGTCCGTGGACACCACTTTGGTTACGTACTATTCCAGGAGTCAGCGTCAATGAAATGCAAAAACCCAAATCATGATACATGGGGTGTGCGTTTTAAAATGGAAATTTCTCTTCCACTTATTTTTTTTCTTAAATGTCAGGTAAATTGACTTTCATGGTGCATCTGAATATATACCCTTTTCTATGCAGGTATTTCTGCCTCAAACCTGACATGTTAAAAATTTTAAAAAGGTAACTACATAACAGGTGCAGCCATTCTGATCTCCCTGGACAAAGTCTAGAGATCTTCGGGCTTCAAGGTCAAGTGAAATAATCCAGATGGGGGTGACAGGCGCTCAGAATGGTGATAACCTGCAGCTGTTGGGAAGAAATGCCCATGGAGGTCATTTCTAGACAGGCAGAGAGCTAGTCAATTAGAAAGCCAACCAACCACTGCTGAATACCTAGGTGTCAGTCAGGTCCCATGCTAGGAACTGGGAATACGGTGGTGAACCAAACAGATCGTTGTCCTCCTGGAGCTTACAGTCCAGGGTCCTAGGAAGGTGGGTGGCACCCAATCCAGAAGCTCTGAGCAGTGCAAACTGCCCACCCAAGGTAAGGGAGTACCACGCATCACCTACCACGACAGCATACTTGAGTTCAGACAACAGGCCACTGTGCTGGGACAGGGCAGATAAAAAGAAAAAAAACTTTAAAATCCCTGAGGTTTCTAGTGCCTGTTGGTTCCTGGTAGGTGGACCTGAGAGGGTGACAGATAGAAAAGCATTTCCACTGGGGTCATGGACGAGCCCCTTCGTGTGGGGTGGGCTGGAGCAGGAGAGGAAGTGCCCTTCAGCGGTGCCTGCACACAGGGCTGGGGGCAGAAAAAGGGCGCAAACAGAGTCCAGGGGGAGCTTCAGTTAGGTTCTGTCGTGTTTTTCCCACTGAGCGTTCGGTGCTGTGCACCTCATTAACATCAATCAACTCTTCTAAGAAGCGGCAGCCTACACTCTCTGTAGGGACTTAAGTGAAGGGCCTGGGCCCACAATTGGAGAAGAGAGGTCCAGAGAGACCACAGCCACAGCTTGAGGGAAGAAATGACCTGCAGCCAAAGGGCAGCAGCCTAGAGGGATGGAGAAGCGGTGACTTAGAGCCACAGCCAGCTGCAGGGGCCAGTGACACCCAGTGCAGGCCTGTTCAGTTTCTCTTAGCCTTAGTTTCCTCATCTGAAAAATGGGCATACTATCAGCAACTATTTCCCAGGGATGCTGTGAACTAAATGTACTAATGGAGGTAGACACGTAACAGTATCTGGCATATAGTTCAGTGCTCAATAAATGTTCACTATTACTCTCATCAAAGCAACCGGGTCCATGAGCTTATCTCCAGGGGGAGCATTTGGCAGGGAGTTAGGACCTGTGGAGACCATATCCCACTCCACGGGCAGAGTTAGGCTCCAGGAGCGGAGCCTTCACAGGGGTCAGAATGAGCGGCGGGCGCTGAAGACAGAGCGAGTGAGCAAACCGAGGCTGAGAGCATTCCAAGAAAGAAACATGAAGGGCCAGAGTCCGTGCACCACGGGAAGGTCCGGGATCTGAGAGCAGAAAAACCCAAGTGGTGCTCTAAGGCAGTTATAAAGAGTAGAACTCAATAAGAATAAAGAGGTCTTTTTTCCTTCATTTACTTTGTTGTTTTTTGGACTACGTTTTGAGAGCAGCACAACTATCTTGGAAAGAGGCTAAGGAAGTATGTCTTATTTAAATTTCCACAAATTATTTTAGAAAGAAGGGGTAGGGGCTGGATCAAGACAGCGCTAAACGCTCGAGGGAGTTACAAGGACAAAGGGAACACAGTCCGTGTTTCTCCAAAGCTCAGTCTAGTCAGATGCTCCACAATCCACCTACCTGGAAGCGTGTGTCTATTTTCTTCAGTGCTTCTTGTGAAGCCTTCACGCACCCACTCGGGAAGAGTGGTCTGAATGTGTGTAGCTGCAGTGGCCTCAGAAACTTACTGCACTGGCCAGAAAGTCCATTTAGTTTTTTCCGTAAAATAAGAAACACATTTTTTTTTCACCAATAACTTTATTGATTTGGATATTGTGAGTATGCTGGCTATCTCCTGCTATTGGCCTCTAATGGGTAGAGGCCAGGGGTGCTGCTAAACACCTTCCAATGCATAAGACAGCCCCACAGCGAAGAATTATTTGGCCAAAATGTCAGTAGTATCAAGAAACTTCACAAACCACTCTTGACGTGTTCAATCACTCACAGCACCTTCTCTATACACTGCATAAATCTTATTTGTGTTTCGGTTGCGTTTTTACCTTTCTTGAAATAATAAACCATGATATGCTAAAAATCTATATCTTCTTCCATCTTCAATATTAAAATGACTGCACAAAAATTTACCAATTTTGATATTTTTTTAAATGTATGCTGATATGACAGCTGTCACAATAACAATCTAACAAAATTATTTCAAATGAAGTTAAAGACAACTAAGCACTCCTAGCACCATGGTACGGAAAAAACTAAATGAACTTTTTGGCCACCCCAGTGCAGTCAGAGACACACACAGGACAAAGAGGAAGCCTATGCTCTGGAGGCCTTCGCAGGTCTGAGCTCTGATCCTGAGGCGCCATTTCCAGTTCGGACGGTAATTATGAACGAAGGGAACTAGCCATCAGCTATTTACCTCTGAACGTTCATAAACAACATCCAAAGCATGAAGTTCTAGTTCTTATCATAGGAGTCAGGTGGTGGACTACGTGTAAAAAAGTAAATAATGATCCACTAAAAGCAGAACCAAAATTGTTACTTACCAAATATCTTCAGGCCAGCCATACTTTATTAGATCCTCATCTGCAAGGAGATACAAGAGAACAAAGAAAAAGTTAAAAAAAAAACACAACAAAACCAAAAAACCTTCAAATGAAGATATGCCAGAGTTTATTGGGAAGGGGAGAACTACAATCCTTCCCACAATTTTTTTCCCTCCCTTAATGAAGAGTAATTCAGAGAGACTTTCATGCTTGAAAATTCTGTAAAAATAGTTTTTACAACTTGACAATTATAACTGTGATAATCTTTTATAACAATACTTATAATCGAAAGTTCAAACATATTTCTATTTGAAGATAATACAACTGACAAAACAGAGCAGCTGAGCTTGGATGATGTCTTAGAAAATTGATTCACTGTAATAATATTTATATGTTTAAATTGTTTTATTAAAATTTTAAAGCCAATGGACTACATTTTACTTCTTAAAAAAAAAACCCTGAATTTTAAAATTATAGAAAATTAGGGAATGAAACTAACACCAGAAGTATAAAAAAGAAAATAAGAATTGCCTAAAATAAAACAGAAGACTGGAACATAGGTACTGGGAAGGATGGGGCAGGGAGCTGATGTTTTTATTACAAGCATTCTGTTGAATGTTTAAATTTTTAAAAGTTGGCTTTAGAGTGGGAGGGAGAGAGAGAAACACTGATTGCTCCACCTGTTTATGCATTCACTAATTGATTCTTCTATGTGCCCTGACCAGGGATCAAACCCACAACCGTGGTATATTGGGTCAATGCTCTAACCAGCTGAGCTACCTGGCCAGGGCACTATGAGAATTTTTAAACTATGTATGATAGGTAAAAGTAAAACAAGATTTTAAAAAGTTATTTGGAAACAATAACACCCTGATTCTATCAGATGGATAAACTCACTAATGTTGACACTTGGGTTGTCTCTAATTATAAATGTTTCAATAAATATTTTTAAATAAGTATGTCCATTTTCCTGATTATTTCTTTAAGGTGTATTTCTAAAAGGCGAATATTCAAAATTTATACACATTTTTAAGACTAATGATATGTATCACCACAGAAAGTTTATATCCATGTATGGACAAACGTAGGTTCACAGTTGTCTGTATGGAAAATAATACAATAATTAATAAATAATAGAAGAAGAAATGCTGTGTTTTGCCTATTCACAACTGTAAACCTACTTCTGCCCTGCCCTGTACTTCTAGAAGCCATAGGAACAATTAGTAACTATGTTTAACACAGAAGCATTATTTAAAGTACTAGACACAGAGTTAAAAATTGTAAAGTACACAAAATAATACATATCTGATTATTTTAAATGTACCCAAGAAAATATAATCTCTCTAACTTTAATGGGGTATTTGCTTCCCAGAAAAGCAAAAGGAAGATAAACCTTGCATGAGGGTACTCTTAGCAACTGCAGACACCATGAGTTTCTGAGGGGCTTTCTAGGAGCCTAAGTGGGCAGCTGAGCAAACAGCCAGCAGGTACTCAGAACAAGTAAAGGGAAATCTAAAAACCTCATCCTCAGGCAATGTTCGGCTCCCTGGTGACACCTGCTGACTAAGAAAAGGAACACACCAGACGCTTTTTAGTGGAAGTAAACAAGTCAATAGAAATTCATTTATATTCCATCCAGCCCTTAGTCTAAAGTCATCAAGACTATTATTAGAAGGTAAGTGCGATGTGCTAGGAGCACCAGAGCACAGAGTGCTTAATAAACACTACACCTTTCTTACAAAGCAGCTATGGAAGTCGACACCTCCAAATGACTCCAAGATTTCTTGGGGAAAAGTGTATTTATTTTATATACACTTTAATGACAACAAAACACCACTCCAGTGGACTCTAGATAGAATCTAGATTGACATATGCAGACATAGATTCTATATCTAGATTTATATTTGTAGATATAAATTCCTCCAAAGGACATTTAAAGGATTCCAAAAAAAAACACCAAAAATTAAAAACAAAACATAAAATATTGCACAATCTAGCCCATCCTCAGCTACTCCTCCACATAGCCTTCTCAGCTTTCCCTAATCCAGTTTTCTTTCTCTGCCTCCTCCATTTCCACAGTATTTGCTATTAATATTAATTTTATTGTGCCCGTACTTTTTTATAACCTTTATTTTTTAAAGCAATTTAGGTTCAGAGCAAAACTGACCCACACTTGCTTCGGTGAGTGCCTCCACCTGGATACTGTGAAAACACAAGACTGAACCTCCCTCTCTGGACACTCACAGAGGCTGGCGCAAAGGGACCCAGCGAACAGTAACTGAATCGGAAGGCCGGAGAGACAAGGTGGGAGAGTTACCGCACAGCTGCCTCAGGCCGCCCGGCTCCGCGGGCAGCCAGTCAGTGTGAGCCAGGACGGAGGCAGCTCTTTGCTGCAAGAAATACATAAAGCCCACTCCCCCGGCCCCCACCCACAACCGGAGCTGTGCAGTGCAAAACCCTCGTACAACCTCACAAAGCAGCTCTGTGTTAGGAGCCTCTCAGTGACCTCAATCTTGGATTCGCACGTGTGATGAGGTAGAGAGAAAGGCAGATGTGGTCAGGTTTGAACTGACATCTGCTGTAGGTACAATTATGGCTCCTAACTGTGCCTTACTGTTCAATGGAATACAGGAAGGTAGCACCCCCTCTTCAGCTGCATGCATCAGGAGGATGCTCTGAGGAAAATACATATTACCTATGACAATTTATGGCTTACTAGAGAAACATAAAAATCTAGAACTGATATATTGCAGCTTCTCCATTAAGTCATATCTAGAATCAATGTCATAAATTCATTAAAAGGAAAAATTTTATAATTGAGTTACATTATTCTGTTTTGCTTTACTCTCTTGGCAAGGATGTGATAATCTTGCTTATACTGATTCTGCTTTATAGCAACCATGTTACAGCAACGTTCTAAACTTTATGTAGATCTGAATTGTAACTACATTTATATAACAATTACACATCACATTATTAGAGATCATATATGCTATATATTGTATGCATATATAGTATTTTAAATATAAGTATATATATATACACTACCTATATAATTACATCACCGCTCTTTGACATCTTTTAGTTTTTGGCCTTATTTATGTCATTAATGTCAATGTCTCATACTGAAGAATGTTATATTTGCCTCTTTTAAAGGACCAAGTTTAAACTGTGGTCAGTTTCAAACCTCACCTAGAACAGACACTGGTGGTTTTAGAGAGGGAAAAAAACGCCATACCTGGAATTGAAAGGTGACTCTAGCGGATCACCCAGCTCTCCGCACTACGGAGGCAGAGTCATCCCACTTGGAGTGTTCCCACTGCGGGAAGGGCCGCTTGGGCAGCTGAAGAAACTCCAGTATGGCAACTACTACTTACTGAGTGCCCACTAGGGCCCAGACACCTCACCCAGGCTCTTTCATTAACCTTCACGACCTCACACAGTAAATACCACCAATGGTCTTCTTCTTACATCTAAGAAATCTGAGGTTCAAAGAGGTTAAATCACTATAGCTAGTTTGCTAAAGAGCTGGAATTTTAACCCAGATTGGCCTGATTTAGGAGCTGTCTCTTCCAAAATGTTATACTAGCCCATGAGATAAGCAGCTGTGTTTTCCAAGACTGAAGAAGAGTAATTCTGGCACTTCCTCCAAGAGCTCTTACTACTGCAGCTCTTTTCTCTGTACTCCACACCCTGGGGGTCGGCGCTGCCAGCCCACTGCCCTCAGCCCACTGCTCGCCTGATCAAGGAAGCTGAACCTCACTTCCGCCGCCCTCCTCGCTCCTGCAGTCAAAAAGGTTACCCCTCAAGCGATGTTTTTAGTTTTAAATTTAGTTCATTTCATCAGTGAGTCAAAAAATTAATTTAGCAGGCTGAGACTAGCTTTTAAAACAGGAAATAAAACAGAAAGTAGAGGGCATAGCAAACAATATGGGTATTTTTGTTTTCTTTATATGAAAGTGTATACCGTTCAGTTATATGATTGTGTATACAGTATGAAGTGATGTATTTCATTCTGAAGACAAGGGTCGACAAAGTCAGACAAAAACTGTTAACATTCCTTGACTTAAAAGAGCCATCTTCAGCCTTAGAAAACCAATAGACATATTTCCACTAATCTTAAATGTGGTGAAAACGGCAGGAAATGATCTTTTTAGAGTCCAAGGCACAGATTATTTTTATTTGATCTAAACTGGCAAAGGTTAACCTCTGACTCATATCAACCTAATGACAAAACTTTCATTAAGTAAGCTTCCAATGAGCAATTAGTGGTCCAATTAGCTCAAATATTACCTGATATAACTAAATTCTAGGCAAGTTAATCCCCTGGAGTTCTTTATAATGGGTTAGTTAGCAGTAGTAAGTTGAAAACTCATATCCAACAAACCATAGAAGGAAAAGGCAATTGACACTTACCTTCTGGAAATTTCAAAATCAAATGCTTTAGGAAACTTACTTTCATATTTATCCTTTCCCATGTAAATAGTGTAAGCAGATGAGTTAACTAAAACAAAACAAAAATAAAAAGTAGTCAGATAATTTCATCACCAAAAGTGTGTCATGGGAAAAACAAGTGGTGACAAATGCTTAGATTTGGGGTCAGCAAAAAAAGGATGGCCCATCGGCCAAAGTGAGCCCTGTGCGTGGACAGCCCTGGAGCTGAGAATGCTTTTTAATTTTCAGCAGGCTGGAAAAAAGCAAACCAAGGAAGAATAAGCTATAGAGTGTGGCTCACAAGTCTAAAATATTTATGATCTGGCCCAAACAGAAAAAGTTTTCTGACTCTTATAATAATAATAAAAAAAATAGCTACTTTCCTACTTTCCTGGGTAAAGTTCAGTGCAATTCCAGTTGAGTCTTATATTCTGCCTTTTTCAAAAGAATTTTCAAAAGAGAAAAATCCAACCTTCACCTCAATCATTTAAAAATAGGCTCCTAGACTTAGCTAAGTTTTATTTTTCATCATTTAATTAGGCCAATATTAAATTATATTCCAGGTGTGCTGCAAATTATAATGGGCTGCCTGTCCCATTGGGAAGAAATATGCCTCTTAAGCTTCTAAATCATTGGCTCTGAACCCTGATTACATATCAGAATCCCCTAATTATGCACCAGCTCCACTAAGACTGACCAAATCCTAATCTCTGGAGGACAGGCCCTGATGTTTTCTAAAAGATTTCCAAGTGATTCTGATGTTAAGTCAGGGTTGGGAACCACTATCCTAAATCAAACTGAATGTTCTGGTATGGCTTACATTAGGAATTTACTGTACTGGCAGTGTGTTTTAATGTGGGCATGCGCCATCTGGAGTCAAACAGAAAGTTAGGTTTCCTAATTGAAATCCGAACTGGGCAATGGGTTTCCAAGCTCGTCTACCAAACTTAGTTGATGCCATCTGAATGTAACCTCCTGAATTAACAGTCACAGGGGTTCAATCTGTAAGACACACCAGATGGGTGCCAGGCTAGTCTGGCAGAGTGCCGACTGTCACTCCAGAGCACAGAACTGCCACACATGGGCGGGACTCAGAAGGCCAGGGAGCAGGCACTCTTTCACTACAAATGCTGAGCTCAGGATGACCTGTCCCTTCAGTAATGAAACATTCCCTAGGTTACTGATTGTGGCTGCCTCTCTTGGGGAGCAAACTCCTAATTCCTTGGATTAGCAGTTATAATGACTACAGTCCATAATTACTTGGAAGAAGTTGAGAGTAATCTTGAAGGGAATGTTTGCATTGCCTAGTTGACAGAAATACTTATCTATCATTGAGCATTTTATTGGCTTCATAAGGCCTTAGCATAGCATATGAAAATGCCAGAAGGGCAGGAACAACACTAAAAAGTGTTTCAGATTCTCTGTGCACAACCTGGCAATACTATATGTGTATACCCTTTGGATCCTACAATGTCACCGCTAGGAGTATATCCTGCTAACTAAATACTCCATCCAGCCATGATGTTCTTTTCACCAGCTAAACACTAATTAAGACTGGTTAAACATATTATAGTATATCCATAAACAAAATGTCACGTACCCATTAAAAAGAAAGGGCCACAGTATTCTTGTATATCCATATACAATAAGATTCAATTTGTAAACAATAGATGAATATGTAATTAAGTATGCATATTTATGTTCACATATATATATTTTTAATATATGCATCCATTTTCTTTATATGTACGGAAGGATATACATCTGTTAACATAGTTACCTTAGCTAGCTTGCTCTCACACAATATACAGGTCATTTTTGCAATCAGAACAAAAGTAATTTTTAAAATGATTAAAATAAAACAAAGCTGTCCCTGTGTCGGCCAAGTTACCTAACTTACAGCCAAGAGAACCACAGACAATTGTTTGGATGGCTGACCTACACAACTGCTACAAGCCCAAGCTGAGGGGCATTCTACAAAACAATTCTTCAACTAGCAAGCGTCATGAAAGACAGACTGAGCAAATGCTCTAGGTTAGAAGAGACTAAAGAGTCCCTTGTAATGATTTGTCATTTTCCTTTGTTATAAGGAAAATGACAAATCATTAGGACACTGAGTAAAAGCTACTTAGATAATAGTATTGTTGCAAAGTTAATTTCCTAATTTTGATCATGAAAAATGTCTTTTAATAAGAGAATATCCTTGATTTTAAGAAAAAAATACTTGGGAGAAGAGTGAAAATATCAGGGAAAATTAAAATAATGCAATTGTTAGAATGTCGTTAAGAAGGTAAAATGTTCAAATCTCGGAAATCTAAGAGAAGGATATAATAAAAGGCTTTTACTTTTCCTGTAACTTTTCTGAAAGACTGAAATTATGTCAGAACTAAAAAGAGCATGATTGCTGAGCAAGTGTTCTGAATTAAGCTCCTGTGGGTGTTAAAGAGCTAAAGACAAAAAAATAAACTGAATTACTTTGGTACTTTCGTTATTCTCACCCAAATAACAGGGTTCATTAGTATGGAAACTGGTTAACTTGTAGATGACTGAGGCATGGCAGCCAACCCACCTTGAGGGGCCGTGTGACCACTGCATAACATACAGGACAGTCTATCCTACGACAGATGCTATTCAGAGGTACTCAGTACTAAGTACCTCTTCATGAGCAAAGTGCAGGTATTTTGTGGGTCCATAACACAGATGGTCTTGAATGTGACACTGGAAATATAATAAAGCTAATGTTTCATTATGTCACTATGAGAAAACATGAAAGAACAGGATTGAACAGATTTTAGTCAGATACTAATCTTGAAACAAAAGGAAAGGCAAAGCTTTCTACTGAGATTTTTTCTCTCCATTTTTTGAAAAAGGTTTTAGGCCACAACCACTTGGTTAGAAGCTTGGTTATCTATATGAAATCAGTTCCTGAAGATTGTGCATTTCAAGTTGTTTTCCGTACTGGGATATGTCGCTTTACTACTATTTTACTGGAAAAGTTATATATTTTTCCATTGACCTTGCAATTTTAAGAGATTTGCTGCACAAGGGCAGTTTTATTAGACTTAGAGGCTAAATATTTTTCCAACAGGAAGCAGTTCTGACACTATAATGGAAGCCAATGAGAAAAATATGACCCACAAATCTGCACTTTGTTCTATTAAGGGCACCTGTACATGTATGACTAGGGCTTAAATAATTTGGAATAGCTTTAAAGCAACTAGCATAAAATACATTTAGCACTTATAGACCCCCCATACTTTTTATTTCCTTCTGAGCTCATATAGATATCTATGTTGTTGGGAAATTTCATGAGTAGAGAAGCTACAAAGAGATGCTGAAGTTATGTCAGACAGAACAAAACAGTACAGAGGAAAGATTGAAAATGCTATCAGGGGCCTAAAATGATTTTTCAGGCTAGTTTGAATTTAGTTTCTAGTAATTTTAGTAATATGGGTAAGCCCAACCAAATCTAGAGAGGCAGAGAAATATTAGCATATGGCACACCATGGAAGTCTAAACTACCCAGAAAAAAAGAGATGTGACAGTGTGATTGAGTAGGAGGGGTTGGGGGGTGGGGTCTGTGAGTTACAACATCTCTGGGCCTTAGTGTTCTCAACTCTAAAGAGAAATCACCACCCTGCTCAACCCCACACAAACACGGAGCTCACCTTTAACAGGCAAGCAAAGATAACAGCAATAAAATAGTCTTAGTCTAAAGACTATTTATTGGAAAAATATGGAAAAATATTTAGTCTTATGACTAAATTTAAAAAAATAACATTTGTTTTATTCGATAAGCATCTACTGAGTATCTATTATGAGCCAGGCACTATACTAGGGGAAACAAGGAGATCCTGTCCCTGCCTTCAAAGGGTTTACACTCTCAAGCAGACAGCGTTTATTACCATTAAGTGCTAATACCAAAGGTATACACGGAATGTTAAGGGGGTCCCTGAAAAAGTATACCTAAACAATCCCTGGGTGGAAGATAGATTGGGAAAGGCATTTGAAAAACGTAAGCCAGAGCTGTCTTAAGGATGTAGCAGTGAACTGGGGGTTGATTCCAGCAGAGAACACAGCAGAGAAACGAAGTCTACACACAGTATTTACTTCCTGGGAACTAAAAGCACCCTTTCTTTTTTGACTGCCAACGACAAGTCAGAAACATCACCACATGTCACTCTTCAACATCTGAGACATCAAGTCTACCCAGGAGTGGCTTTCTTACCATTCTAAGGTCTTTTACGCTGTTGCATCGAGACCCTACAATCCTGTTCTAGAAGGGTAAGGCGTACTTCCCAGATGGCAGAGCTGTTGACAAGTGTCTCCTTTGTTTATCAAAGTGCATACTCACTAGGGCACAGCCCGAATAAAGGCCAAGGGGGTGGTGGTGGGGGTCGTGAAATGGGGTGTGAAGAAGCCCACAAACTCCCTATGCCAGGTAACAACAGAGTCTTCCCCACTGAGGCCAGAGAACACTCCCGGATGCGAAGACCGCAGAGGGGACAGTCCATCCGCCGCCCCCCACCCCACCCAGCGGCCCCCGACAAGGGGACACTCGGAGACCACCGGGCGGAATGAGTCAGAGGACCGAATGGGAGCGGGGAAAAGGAGCCCAACGTGGAGGAAGCGCCTTAGGATGAGATCCTAGCTTGGCGGCGGCCCGGCTTCGGAAACGCACAGGGGAGCAGGGACCCCGGAGGTCGTGGCGCCCACTCACCGCTGCTGCTGGTGAAGTAGAACACCATGATCCCGGCGACGGCGCAGCGACCCCAGCGTGGAGCAGCAGCGCCCAACTCTCGGAGAGCAGGAGACCAGACGCGGAGGCCGCCAGTTTCCTGGAGCTCCTGCGCGCACTTCCGGCGGGTGTTGGGGCGCGTCATAACGCCGGCCCGTCAGTGCCATTTTTGATCTTGGCGAGCCGATGGTGTTGGCGGCCGAGGGTGTTTCAAGACCCTGGGAGAGGATGGGGCCCGGACGGCTGGTGGTTGGAAAACATGGGCGGGGAGGTAAGGGGTACACCATCTTCCTTTTTTATTGAGCTTATTGGGGTAACATCGGTTTATAAAATCATACCGTTTGCAGGTGCATAATCATATAATACATCATCTGTATATTGTACTGCCTGTTCACCAACCCAGCAAAGTCTCCTTCCATCACCATTTATGCCCCCTCTACCCTCTTCTACCTCCCCCCACCCTGCATGAAACAATCTTAAAAGAAAAATGTCATTGGCTGGTACCTCCACCCAGTGGGTGGTTAAGTCTTGAGGCTTATTTGTTGGTATTATCTGCCTCCCCACACCCCCGCAAGGGCTCCCAGAGAGCATAAACTGTTTGCCTTTTTCATAACTGGATATTCACTGAGCCAATCGCGGTACTTGATACTTCGGTAGTTCGTTAAATTTTTAACGAACCCAAATTCCTCCGTTATTTTCATTCTAGCTCCACCACTTGTAAGGCCCACATTTGGATACATTCTGTGCTTCACCTCCCTCATCTGCAAAATAAAGATGAGTAGAGCAGCTAATTTATCGATTATTTTGCTAGCGTTACATAAATTAATAGGAGGAGGGGGTTAGGACATCCCACTCAACTCAAATAAATTGTTAGTGATACTCCCCAGAGGCAACGTGCCTCTGAGATTTCAACTAGGACTGTTCTGCCTTTATGATCTGCTAATTGTTACCTGTGAGATTGAGCAAATTTCAAACCTGTGAACCTCAGAGATCTCCCTGCTGTAAAGTGGTCATAATCTCACTTCGCTGAAGCTCACACAGTACTTCGCTTTGACCTGTTCCTCTTATTTCATTCTGACTGCATTCTAGGAAGTTAAGTGCATCACTTAAATTTATTTAGGACTAAAAATGTTCCATCGCAGAAGGTAAATGTTTAGACTTGGTATGAATTAGTCTAATAAAAGGGCAAAGTGTACCAGGAAGTGGTTCCACACAGATAAAAGCAATAGCTAACAATCATTGAGTACTTTAGGAACGTTCCTGCTCCCCAAAGCAAGAACCTAGTTATGGCCTATATGTAGTAATTGTTTTCAGGCTCTCAGTTTTATTCTTTGTACAATGGGAATGATAATACATTCCTCATAGGTTGTGGTGTGGAGTAAATGAGTTAAAACAAAGCGTGCAAGAATGCACATAGCAGATAATAGTGCTATGACTTAATTTTTTTAATTTAACCTCAAAGATAAAATAATAAGCTAGAAACCTAACATACTACTAATAAAAAAAGTTGAACGCCAAAGCTTCATATTTGAAAATTAACTGCCTGGAGAATCTCGAGAGGCTACTTTACAAAAACATCTTACACCAAGTGACCCCAGAATGTTCATGAGGGCGTATTCTACGGAAAACTACAATTCCCAGAACACACCTAAACAAGGCCTGGGGAGTGGAACGCGCGGCCGCAAGGGATCGTGGATGGCAAGGTTCCGGGTGTGGAGAGAGTTTCACCTCCCAAGGGCGGGAGAGTCTTGGAGACCACCTCTCCGGTAGGCGGGACGATAACTGATGTGCGGCCAATCATCGAGCCAGTTTCTGAAAGCGCTGAGAAGTGGCGAATCAGGACACAGCAGCTTCATCCAGGCCTGGCGCGCGATAATTTGAATACAGTGGCGGAGCAACAGGCTTGACTGAGGAGAAGTCGCGGGCTCCGAGGTGCAGGTAATAATTGCTGCAGGGGGCCGAGGCGCGGGCTGGAAGACTGAGAAGAACGGGAGATTCTATAGAACGTGGTGGGGGTGAATGTCAAGGACCGAAGACACCAACTGCTTCTCGCACTTCCAGGTCAGCTGGTTCCTATCTTCCTGACGCCGGAGTTTTCCTGTCTTGAGTTTTCTAAGGCTGAAAGAGGAAAAGAATCTTTTCCTCTTTCAGCCTTAGAAAGGGCTTCTAAGCCGCAGCTGACATTAATTCCGGGAGACCCTGGTCTTTCTGTTTGTTTAACTTTGAAATCACGCTTGTGTCATTTTACAAAACATACCTCGTCCGAAGGAAGGGAAGGGGGAAACGTTGCTGAGCAACATGCCATTTGCTCGAGTTAAGATGAAAGATTATTTATTGTCAGCAGCCTAAGGAGGTCAGGGTATTTTGTAAAAGGAAACGAGCGGCTTGGTTGGGGTTTCTCGCCTGGTAAAATTGGAGCGTATCTTTTGCTGGACTCGTAATGAAAGTTGGAATGGTTTCATTGCATATACAGGCTGTTGAAATGCAGTTACACCAACAAGAAAATGTGTTAAATGGAGAATATTAAGAAAGCATAGATGGAATGGAGGCATAGGACAGCATCTAACGGTGTAGGGGTGGGGTGGGGTGAGGGCAGTGGCAAGGGAGTGTTGCAGAAGATGAATGTTTAAACTTGGTGTGAACTAATCCGGCCTATTAAAGGGAGAGTGTGCCTTAAAATAGTGTAAAAAATATTTCATTTTTGGTAAGATCATTTTCCAGCTTGAAACATGTACTATACCTGCTTTTATTTCCTGTTCTAATTACTACTGTAATGTAGTGTTTTTCCTTTTTTTTACCTTCATCGTTTAAAATTTTATTACAGTGATTTGCTTAAAAAAGAAACCCTTGAGCCCTGGCTGGCGTAGCTCAGTGGATTGAGCGCGGGCTGCGAACCAAAGTGTCGCAGGTTCGATTCCCAGTCAGGGCACATGCCTGGGTTGCAGGCCACAGCCCCCCAGCAACCGCACATTGATGTTTCTCTCTCTCTCTTTCTCCCTCCCTTCCCTCTCTAAAAATAAATAAATAAATAAAGTCTTTAAAAAAAAACCCTTTTCTTGGATCTTCATGGACCATCACCCATACAAAAAGTAATTCAGACTTTTAAGGTATAATTTTTATAGTGATTTCTATGCACATTGGATGAATTTGGTTATTATAATTGTCCTGTTGCTTTTAGGAGTTCAGTTAAGAAGATGTCAGCTTTTACTCCAAGGAAAAGGAAGCAGAATTCTTTGAATTATGACAGGTAAGTCTCATCTTATGGGTAGAAATTCTTAAAAAAGAAAAATTCACCTTCCTGTCTTTCTTACCTTCTCTCTTCTATTTCTTAAAATTTCCATTCTTCCACTAGCTATAGTAATATTTTATATTCTAATTCTAGTCTGGAAATACTGTAAGCTTTCAAAATTAATTATTTACTGCTTTTGCAGGTAATCACAGGAAGAGCTATTTACTATGGCTTCAAAATGTGTGTCAAATCTCCCATTACCTTGCTCCTTTCTGCTCTCTTACGAGATTCTTACACAGTGTTTTCCATGCAGTAGATGCTGGTCTGTTAGCCATTCTAGAAAGTCTGTGTACTCAGTACTTACTGTGTGTCACACCAAATGTAAACTACTTCCCACAGAACAGGCCCTAGTTACATAGAATTAATCATTTTAGAAGACTCGGAACCACTCAAGCAAAGTATGTGAGCTGTAATTTGTATTTGGCCAGGACTTTAAAATAGTTTCAAAACATACACATATACACATATATGAAAATTTCTTTGTGAACAGTGTTTTCACAAACACTATCTTTTGAAAACCATTTGAATGCTTTGCTTGGCAAAAACAATTTGAGAAATCTTACTGTTAAACTAACAGATAATGTGTGTGGATGGATGTTTGGTGGAGAAGATGTAATGTTTTTAGTGTGACCTATAGGTAGCATTTATTACTTAGTAAATTGACAAAAATTGAAGTAAAATTAAAATTCTTATCAATGGACCTTGTTTTTTTTTCATAGCCTATTATCAGACATTCCATCAAAGAAATTAACTTTGGACTTTACCGAAAATATATTTTCATCACCTAATAAACAACCTATTTGCCAAAGCAGTGGTAAAAATGAAGAAAAGGTGCCTTACTCTCAACAAGGCCATGCCATTTCAAGTCTGCTCCAAACACCTAAGAAAAATAGATTACCATCTGCAAATCAAGGCTCACCTTTTACATCTTCTGTGTCTGCTGTATCCTTTTACAACAAAAATAAGTGTTACCTCAATCCACTGGAAAGAAAGATGATAAAAGAGAGTAGATCCATTTGTGTAAAGACTAATAATGAAGCTAAGAGTTTTCCTGGTGTGACAGAAAAAGTACAGGGAAAACCAGTCCACTCCAAGAAAATGAACAAAAAACCACGCAAGAGCTTAACTGCTAAGGGTCAACCAAGTTATAAGTGCATCAAGCCTGTATCAAAGAATTCTAAAAATCCCATGCAAAATCGAGTGGTCTACAAACCAAGTGCGGAGAAAGAGAACAACTGTTATTCAGCTGAGAATATGCATGCTCCTAGAGTTCTAAGCCAAAAAGTCAAACCACAAGTAACACTCCAGGGTGGAGCAGCATTTTTTGTTAGAAAAAAATCCTCTCTTAGAAAATTGTCTCTGGAAAATAAGCCAATCCTGGGACTCACTCAAGAGAATAAGTCAGAAGTGATTAAAGATTCTGATGTAGAGACTTTCAGTGAAAGAAAAGGTTTTGAGACAAAACAAGTGCCAAAGTCCTTGTTAATAGAAAAGGAACTGAACATTGAGCTGCTGGGAACAAGAAGTAAAAATGAAGAGAAATTAATAAAGGTAAAGAAAACTAAATGTATCATTTAAAAACTAAGTTGGCTGTATAACAAAACTTCAGTATACATGCTATATATGTAACATGATTGAACAATATTTTATTTTCTTTGCAGTCTAGAGGACTGTTTTTATGACTCCAAACAGTATAGTTTAATCACTGTAAAGAATTTAGAGTCAGGGTGGAAAGATGGGACTTTTCTTCCCTTTTTGGCTTAAGGGAACCTATCATTATTTCCTTGGCACTAAGGTATACATTTTATTAAAATCCCTCATGACTAAAGTCCAGAGAAGTTTAACAACTTTTATTTGGTAGTCAGTGTTTTTAAAAAGTAGAAATAATGAAATTCATATAGCAGGTTTCCAGAAAATAAGCAGATTTTTGTTTGTTTCAGCATATTATTTAAAGTACTGGATTATTCTAGAAAATCTAGAGAATACAGAAAGTATAAAAATATATTGTCTGCAAACCCAGTACTTGGAGATGATCACTGTTAACATATAGTTGGGTTTTTTGTTCACTGTATATAGTATGGTTTCATTGTTGCTATTCTATGCTTTTTTGACCTTGCTCATAAATTTAACACAGATAGCTCCGACTAGTGCTGTCTGACAGAAATAGAATACCAACCGCACTAATTTAAAATTTTCTAGTGGCCATATTAAGTTTTTTTAAAAGTTTAGCCCCATATATTTTGTTACCCTTTCAGTGTTAACCAGTACAAAAAGTCATTAATGCAATATTTTACATTTTTATGTACTAAGTCCTTGAAATCAATGTTTATTTTCTCTTGCAGCACATGTGAATTGGGACTAGTGAATTGTTCTTGCAAATTCTCATTAGCCACTTGTGGCTGGTGGCTACCACAATAGGCAATTCAGGTCTTCCCCTTCTGTTGACTTCCTATCAGTAATCTCATCACAGAAAGGACTTTTGGTTTTCAGGTAGCTAGGGATGGAAAGCAATGGAGGGAGGCAACAGGCTTTAAGAAGGGCTGTCTTCCAGTTTGGGGATTGTATGTCTGTGATGATTTATACTCATCGCAGTCTTTGCAGCTGGAGAAACGACAGGCTTTCACAGTGAGGCTCATATTGAGCAATTCAAACTCACTTACCTTCTCTCATTGTTCTCTTCATTGCCTCCTTTCAGATTCAGTCCCAGATTATACCTCTTGTAGTCACCTAAATTTCAAATCTCAATGGCAGACATTATAAATTGGTGGCCAGTGAACCAAATCCAGCCATAAATGTTTTGCTTTGCCTATATATAAAATTTTTTGAGTCAGCATTCTTTTTTTAAATGTAAGATAACAGATTTCCAGTGTATCATGAAAAACTGAGGTCTGGCAAAGCTGAGCCCTCATTCATGGGTAGCAATAATCTCTCAGAACCCAGTATCAGGCTACCTACCATTTTGACAGGTATGAGTTCTTCATTTCCCTCACTACATCAACACCTGTGTACCAAATTAGATCAGTTTTGCTATTAATTTTACCTGCTGCCCTTGTAGGCATTTAAGTTTGCGGTTCCCACTGTAAATGTTTTCTCTTGTTTATCAAGTATTTCCAATTCTGTATTATTGCTAAATGGAACATGTTCTTGCTGGCTACACAATGTAAGTCTAATTTTACTAATTCTCCATATGGTTCCTGCCAAAACAAACAAACAATAACACAAAAATCCTATATCTTGCTGGGTGTTTTGAGTTTGTTGCATGGGTATGTAAGTGTATTAAAATTCATCAAACTCTATTTACATTTTTTACTTTATATAAATGTTTCAATTTTTTAAAATTTGGGGGGCAATTCAAGCTAAAATTAATTCTTAATCCAGCAACTCAAAGTAGAGCGAGGTCTGCCTTTCCACCCAGGCATCTCCTGATTCATATTCTCCGTGTCTGTCTAGTACAGTGACGTGACCAATCCTCTGCAATGCTCTTTTCTGCCTTATTTTCTGAGCTTCATTTTAAGGGGCATTGGATTCTGTCTAGTTATCATTAGTTTGAGAAGCTATGCTTTTGTGCATCTTAAATTTGTTGAATGAGGCTCTCCTCTCTTAAGATTTTGTTAAATACCCACTACTAGTATTCATTGCTACTAGTGAGGGGTGAATCCTGTCTTCATTACTGGGTGCATAGCCTTTCCTCAACTCATTATGGAGCCTTAAGAAATGGCAATCTGATGGTGTGTCTCATCTCTACTGAGATCTTATGGTCTGGAGTAGTTCTACTTTAATCAGAAGGACTTTTCCCCAAGCTGTACATTCTCTAAGTCCCACCAAATTAGTAATGTCAGTGAAAGTTGTCAGAATTTTTTTCTACTTTGCTTTTCCCACTTCCCATCTACTGCCCAAAAGGGGGAGTTAGAACTTTCTTCAAATACTTAAGAATGTTCTTTTTCTTTCCCTGGATCCCTGTTTTTAAACCTTATGATAAAAGGTTGTCCCTTTCTAGTATGGTGGCTACTGGAAAAATGTTTGCCATTTTCACTCATTTTTCTTGTTTAATTTATTATAGAAAGGGTGTTCTATGTCTCCATTCTGCCATCTTTATCAGGAATTATAAATACATTTTTGATAGGATGACAAATTGCACACTTAAATATGCATTCTCTGTCTTTTAAAAGGTTATGCACATTTAGTAAACAGAGGAAATTGTCCTTAAGATAGGCTGAAAATTGAGGATTTAAAATCATGTTATAAAATAATTCATAATAAACTAGGTATTTAGTTTTAGAAACATTTATTGGAATTCATTCACTAAATGGAAAATGGTTAAGAATTTCAGTTTTTTAAAAATTTTACCTATTATCATCAGGATTCAGGTGGAGTAGTTTCTTCAAGGGAACATAAACCTGATGGAAATAAGTGTTTTCCTTTGGAAGATTCTCACAGTGAGAACCAAGCAGGTAAGAGAAAACTTCTCAGAATGAATTTATTATGACAATGCTTCATTATGTGTATCAATATGAAATTATACAGGATAATTTGGCAAAAGGATATGGCAAAATCCATGAAGGCAGTATACGAATGATGAAAGTTTATTACTTAATAACTGTAGTTTATCATTTAATTCTCACAACAACCCCAGGGAATAGGTTTGTGTGCACGTTTCATAGACGAGCAAACAGACGGGTGAAGTAACAGGCCCGAGCAGGTCAGGCCTCACCTGGCATGGCCTTGTTTGCAGCCAGTGAGCTCCAAAAGTGTGTCCACTTTCAATGTGTTATTTTTCTTTAATCACCTACTATTTTAATTTTGGTCTTTTTAAAAATAAGCTTTATTTTGCAATAATTTTAGATTTATAGAAAAGTTGTAAAGATAGTTCAGATAATTCCTATATACATCTTTCACCCTGTTTCCTCCAGTGTTACCACCTTACATTACCATGGTACCTTTGTCAAAACCAAGACACCCACATTAGTACATGACTGTTAACTAAACTCTAGACTTTGAGTTCACCAGTTTTTCCATGAATGCCCTCTTTCTGTTCTAGGGCGAGTCCAGGATATCACACTGCATTTACTTTTCATGTCTCCTTAGTCTCTTCTCTGTGACATCTTCTGTCTTTTCCTTGTTTCCATGTTTGTTTGTTCATTTGTTTGCTTGTTTTTTGACACTGATCCCAGGTTTGGCTGCCTGCCACTTCAAAAGCCAATACTAGAGAGTCAGGTGCTGGTGTACAGACAAATGGCTGATTCGAGAGCTGGCAGCTGGTGAAGATGGGGGACACTCGTCCCAAACCCCATCTTAACATCTCAGCACAGGCAGAGGTTTTTATAAGGAGAAAGAGGGAAACCAAGAAAGAGATCAAGGGGAGGGGGCTGAAAAATTCTCTATGTGCAGACCAGCACAGTCCAGCACAGTCCATTCTGAGGACCTTGAAACTGGTCAAGTGGTGGTCTGGTGTGCATCTTCCTTGTATTGTAGTCTAAGGTCCGAAAGTCTCCCAGTGCTGGGATGCCTGAAGGCTGGAGTCTGTATCTTTTGAAGTTAGTTCCTAGGATTCTTATACAAACATGCTGTTTATCTAGAAGCTACATGTTAGTCCGATGCAGCACTTACAGACACAATGTCAACAGAATGGTGGGGTGGGGTACATTTTTGACCTTGACATTTTTGAGCAGTACTGACAAGAATGTCCCTGAATCTGGTTTTGTCTGATGTTTTTATCATGATTAAACTTCGAGTAATGGGTTTTGGGGAAGAATGCCACGGAGGTGCAGTACCCTTCCCATCATGTAGGATTGGGGGTGCTGGTGTCCTCGTGACACGACAGAGGGTGTTAACCTCCAGTGTTCGGTTAGGCGGAGGTTAGCCAGGTTGCCCCACTGTGAAGTGACCCTTTTCCCTTTCTATACCCCCGCCTTGGGAAGCAAGTCAGTAAGTTGAGCCGATCCTTTCAGGGAGGGTTGGGGATTGAGCTCCATCTCCTGGAGAGGGGAAATGTTTATTTTTTATTTGGAATTCTTCTGTAGGGAAGAGTTGTCTCTTCGTTCTCATTTATTTATTTAGTCTTTAGATAAATAAATGGACTCATGGAGTCTTATCAGTATGGACTCATGAAAATTTATTTTATATTCTGGGTTATAATCTAATACTACATTATTTATTTTATTGCTCAGGCCATTGGGAGATCTTTTCAGGTCAGTTCTCTTTGGCATGTACCATCCTTTTGTTTTTTGAGCACTTCCTTACTGTTTGGCATTAGTAAGATGCTCCAGTCTCATCATGCATTTTCCTCGTCCCAGTTGTAGAATTAGCCATTTCTCCAAGGAATCCTGGTTTCTTCTATTGGGGAATAATATGTAGGCTCACTACCTGGGCTCACTATGCTCATTGCTACTGGCATGGCATTGTTTCTAGGCGCTCTCAGAAGACAGAGCCACGTATACTTTGTTCCTGTATCTCTCCATCTGTATATGTACTAAAGAAACATAAGTTCACATTTGATGTTGTGACTCTAATCCAGTGCCACAGGGTTTATCCCTTTCCTGTTTATCTGTAACTTCCCTCAGATAGTGAAAAATGTAGTTCTCACCATTCACTCTCCACTTACTTAATTCTTCATTCCCATACCTGCAGGACAGTTTTTAAATTGTTAATCCATAATCTATGAGAAACAAATTTACCAACTAGAGAAATAAAGTATGGTCGTCTTGTCTTTAGCCTTACAATTTTTAGTCAAAACAGCATTTTGTAAAGTTACGTAGGTCATTTTCCCTCTCTTTCCCCACCTCCTTCAGAGTAGTTATGCCGTACAGTTCTAATACAGTCGGCTTCATTCGTCACAGTCTGCAGGACATCTCAGGGTCCCTCGACATATGACTTTTGTTTTTACATGCATTACACTTCACTTCTTGTTATATACAGTTCTGTGGGTTTTGTCAAGTGCATAGAGCCATGTATCAACCACTCCTAGTACTCCACAAAACAGTTCTCTCACCCAGAGTTTCCCCTGTGTACCCTTTGTGGTCACCAATGCCTCTTCTGCCATCCCCCTGGCAACGACTAATTTATTTCCTATGGTTTTACCACCAATGGAATTGTGCAACATGTAGCCTTTCAATTCTGACTTCTTTTGCTTAGTAAAATGCATTTAAGACTCACCTACATTGTTGTGTATATCAATAGTTCATTGCTTTTTTTTGCTAAACTATGGATATACCATGCATAGTCTGTTTATCTTTTTCCCCTTTGAAGGACGTCTTGGCTGCTGCCAGTTTTTAGCAGTTATGAACAAAGCTACTATAAACGCTTGTGTACATGGCTTTCTGTGGGTGTGAGATTTCAAAGTACTTGGGTGAATACCTAGAATCACGATTACTGGGTTGTGTGTAAATCTAAGTTTTCACTTTATAAAAATCTGCCAAACTACTGTCCCACAACAAGTGTGCCATTTTGCATTTCCATCTGCAAAGAGTAAGAGTTCCTGTGACTCACTGTTCTAGCCACCATTCGTTGTTGTCAGTTTTTTGATGTTAGCCATTCTAATAGCTATGTGGTGAAATCTCATTGTGCTTTTCACTTGACAAATGATGCAGAGCGTCTTTTCATGTGTTTATTTGCTATCTGTATTTATGCCTTTGGTAAACTGTCTGTTCAGATCGTTTGCTCATTTGTAATTGGATTTTTTTTTTTATTGCTGAGTTTTAAGATGCTTTTTTGTATTCTGGATACAAGTCCTTGATTAGAAATATGATTGCAAGTATTTACTCCCAGCCTGTGGCTTGTCCTTTCATTTTCCTAAGTGTTTTTTGCAGAGCAAAAAGTTTTAATTCAATAAAGTCTAGCTTAATTTTTCTCTCATGTATTGTACTTTTTGTGTTTTACGTAAAAACTTAGCACCAAATCCAAGTTCGGATTTTTCTTTTTTATATTTTCTTCCAGAAGTTTTATAGCTTCACATTTTACATTTAGATGTGTGATCCATTTTGAGCTAGTGTATGTGTTTTCATATTTTGCATATGGATGTCCATTTGTTCCAGCGTCATTTGCTGACTGTCTTCTCTCCACTGAATTACCTTTGACTTTCTGTCAAAAACCAGTGAACTGTATTTGCAGGGTCTGTCTCTAGGCTGTCTACTGTGTTCCATCGGTCTGTCTGTCTTTTCGCCAGTACCATACTGTCTTGATTACTGTTAAGTCTTGAAGTCAAATAATGTGAGTATTTTGGTCTTATTAGTCTTTAAAATCTTAAGCTGTAAAACTTTGAGTTTATTTTGTAATATAAATTATTGTCGCTTTTCCCCTGCCAGTTTCTCCTGAGTTCACTGTCTATCCCATCTTCAGTCCGTCTTCAGTCAATACAAAAAGGTAGGAATTGCTCTTTTAATGTTCAATGATTATTTAATTATGAGTCCTATGGGTCTCTTTTTCTTTCTTAAACTTCTTAATTTGGAGAACAATTTTTCCTTCTCTGCTAAGGGGATATTAAGGATAGAAGACGAAATCATACCCTTTCATAGAAACTGCATAAGAACCTAAGAGTTGGGAGAAGAGAAAGATCTTTATGGACTTGAGTAATAATAATTGCTAACATTTTTGTGTAGAACCTGGCCCATAATAAGTAGTTTATATCCTTTATCCTACTTAATCCTCACAACAACCTAAAAGGAAGATACTATTATCAATTGTTTTTAGCTGAGGAAACCTAGTAATTCAGCCACAGTTGCCAACTATTAGGTGGCAGAGCCAAGACTAGAATCTGTATTTGAATCAAGCCCTTTAGGCAATATTGCTTTCCCTGGGTAATAATATATCAGTAACAATTGATGTTTAATGAGCATTTACAACCTTAGATGTAGGTACCATTATTACCCCCATTTTATAGATGAGAAGACTCTGGCCAGAAGATTAAGTAACTTGCAGCATCCTGGTGCTATTATAAATCCCAGCAGAAGCTACCACTATCCTGGTCAAAACTAAGAGTGTGGTGTGGGGAGGCCTGGGTGAATGTGAGCTTGCTGGTGGGAAGTTCTGAACAAGAAGTTTCTTATAGTCTGAACATCTTCCTAAGCATCTTTGATACTTCTCTCCCGGTTTAATAATAAATGGCTATAGGCATTGAGCAAGGAAATTCCTAGCCAAGTTCTCCTACTCTTAGGTGCTCCTCACCTTAAAGCACCTCAGAGACTGGGTTGGGTGGGCAGTGTTCCCCCTTCAAAGGCTGTAGTCCTATTTCTTTCACTCTTCCCTTTTCTCATCACTGTCTTCTTTCATGACTGTTTATTAAGGGTTGAAATCTATCATAGTTAGCTGATAAAGGTTGTAAACTAATTTAATCTAGCATAAGGAGATATTAGATAAGGATACTATTGGTCGAGTCATTTGAGATTGCTATGTATATAAAACCCAAAAGGTCCTACAATTTCTTGTGGTTTAATCTATTTTACTTTAAGTAGACTACAGATTATCTGGGTTCACAGTCTCACATTTGTTTTTTGGTTTATTCCTTTATTTGGCAAACATTTATAGAGTATTATGTGGTATTGAACTATACTGAGTTTTTAGTTATGTGAAGATGAATAACATATGGTCATGTTATCTAGGAAGTTATGGTTAGAGAAAGGCATTTAAACAAATACATATAATAAAGTGTTAAAATTGCTAAGATAGAAGTAAAGAGGTTGTGGTCATGAGCTGAGTCACTTAGCAAAGGTTACATAGAGAGACCAGTGCCAGCAACCTAGATGCGTGTTTTCTATATTACAGGTATTAAATAATTACCATCAGCAGTTTGTCAAAGCAGTTCAAGGGCATTATATCCAGAATTTTTTAAATGGAATAATACATCTCACATTTTTTTTAAGTTATATGTGTGTATCTCCATTGGTCATGATGTAAAATGTATTTCTTACCCAAGGTTAATGAAGTCAGTTTGAAAGCCATTCTAATCAGATGATCACAGGACAAGACAGCTTGGCTTAGCTTAAAGCCTTAGACAGTTTTTTCCACCCAGTGTTTTCTTATTGTCAGGTGTTTTCTTTTTTAATTTCTTGCTTTAGGCACTAGGTTTGTTTCCTTGCCTATTTTTCTCTTTGCCTATACTCTCAGAGTTATCTATTCCTTTGTTCCTTGGAAAACCAAGGTCCCTTTTATTACAAGGCAAGGGTTACAAACTCAGTGCCTACAGAGCCAGCGAAGCTGGGTGGAGAGTGCAGCAGGGTGGAGAGTGCAGCCAGCTGGAGAATGCATGCCCATGTAAAAGGGCGTGTGCTGCTTAGCTTCATCTAGTAGGTTCTTTGAAGAAGTAGAGGTCTAGTGATCTTACGGTTTCTCTTGCAATATTGGAAATACACATTTTTAAGTGAAATCCCTACATTTTTAAAATACTAGAAACTAATTCAAAGTCTTAAACACCTAGTCATTCAAAACTTATCTGCTAGCTGAATTTGGGGTGAGGGGCTTCAATCTGCAACCTCTATAAGACAATCCTTACACTCTTTCCTAGTGGGAAAAGGTTGCCTTGACAACATCTATCCAGCCAAAAACACTTTTTCCTAAGAATTTGACAATTGTAGGGTGCTGCTTTAGACATGAGGACCAGTGCATGTATTAGCTCCAACCACCGCCCAAGTAAAAAGTTGTTGGGTCATATGTGCTGATGGCTGACTTCCTATGGATCTGTGGGCTTTAATATTCAAATCTACGTATTTGTTGTGGTACTCCAGGAATTTCTGTATACCTACATGGGTAAATATTGTCCTAAAATGTGTAAAGCAAACAAAATATTATTTTTTATGAGTGAGGTCAAATCAGGAAGAGATCCTGCGCATGCGCATCTGATACTACAGATGAAAGTCCCTGGGACTTGGAGTTACAAGACGAGGATTTGAGTCTCAGCGCCATTCTCTACTAGTTACTTTCCCTTGAGTAAACTTCTGATCGGGAGTGGGCCTGAGGCTTCTCACTGTTCCTAATCCTATTATTTTATCAAGTTATTGTCTCTAGAAAGCACTAAAATTGCCAGGTGCTCTACAAATGTCATATAAGTATCAGTTTTCTCTTCATTGTAATTCTCTAAACATTTTAAATTATTAAATAACATTTATCAACTTTATTTCAAGATCTCTAGTTGAAGAACAGTCTCCTTTGGGATTCAACACACCTACTAACTTCTTGAAACAGATCAATACCCAGAAGAGTACTAATGCCAGAGATACCAATAAAGAAACAAAAGACCAGCTTGTTATTGTGAGTAGGTTCAAACTGCTCCTCCTGTCCATGGCTCTCACATACAGAACATGAAATCAGCCATGTTGTCTTAGCATAGTTAACATGGGTTATAGATATTTTGAGTTTTGTAAATGCCAGTTTTGTTGTAATGGCAGCATTTAAAGATAGTCAAGTGAATTTTCAAATTGATACTGTTGGGTGATGTTAATCATTTAGCAGAAAGCTGATGAATAAGTTGCCTTAAGATAAGGAAGATTATTGTTGATCAGCGAAAGAGTTAATGAGAATAGCTACAATGTATTAGACTTGGGTGTTTGGCAAAGTCTGGCCATGGGCCAAGTATAGACCACGATCTGTAAGCTTAAAGTGGCTCTTACATTTTGTAAAGGTTGGAGGAAAAGGAGAAGAGTATGTGACAAATCATGTGTGGTCTGCAAAGCATGAAGTAGTTACTCTCTGGCCCTGAGACTGCAGAACCTGGAATTTCCAGTAACATGGAGCAAAGCCTTATGGGATAGAATTGGGTTCACTAGTAAGCCATGACATCAAATATTTCTGATCTCCCTGTTAATTTATCTATGCCTTCCCTTAACTTTTGTTATGTATCATATTTATTTTTATCAACTCTTGGGGCAAAGAATTTTAATATTTCTAAATACTCAAGGGAAAAATACTGTATAATGAATATAAAAGTTCTAAGACTTTGCCCTTTGTCATTGAAACAAGGCTGTTTTAGGTTTCTATTTAAGAGCTTAATAAAGAAGTTTCCATTGTTTATCTTAGCTATAAATTTTATGATTTAATCTATTCCTTTTTAGAACTATGGGTCTATCTAGCTAAAGAATCTTGATTTTTCCTTTTTTACATGTCCGTTTCAAGAGATAGTTCCACTTATTTTATTAATTTATTGCATTTCTTGGGTTTTTTCTTTTTCATTTTACGTGGGGGTGGGGAAGGAAGATAGACTACCCAGACTTTCATTTAGTACTTCACTTGTGCCAACATAAAAATAAGGAGAAATTTGAATGAATGGTTACATGAACTAAACTCAGAGCTATTTGTGACATGCTTGGATGGCTCCTCCCTCCCCTGAATAGGACGCAGGCCAGAAGCACTTCGGAGCCACCATGTGCAAGTCCTGTGGCATGATCTACGCGGCTTCCAGCCCCGAGGACGGGCTGCAGCATGCTCAGTACCACCACAGGTTTCTGGAGGGAATCAAGTACACGGTGAGTAAACACTAGTCTTCCGATTCGTCCTAAAAGTAAAACTGCTTTAAAAGATACACGTCTTTTTCTTAAATATTCAAAGACCTATATATCCATAAATATTTCACCATCTATAGTTTTACTGTCCTTAATATTTGAGGCTAACAGTATTTAAAAGTTAAAAAGTACCATTGTAAACTGTCTATCCTAATATAATAGAAGTATTGTTCCAGGTTAAATGAATACCCTGCATTCTTACCTCTAGCTTTCTGAGCAGAGCTGAACAGTCAATACACAAAATTCAAAGACGAGGATGCCTCCCTCCTCCTCCTCCACACTTTAACTTCTTCTTCATAGATAGCCTTAGAAAACAGCTTTTCTGTGACTTCTCCAGGCTTTTTCTTTTCTGAGGTCTCTTTATCAAGCAACTTGCTGGCCCAAATACATCCTATTATTGCCCCTATCTTTATGATACCTGCTACTCAAGTGCATCCTCCCCCAGCCCCATTTTTATTGCTGTGGTTCATAGCTTCATAGTATTTTTAGCCTGTTTTATTATTCTGCCCATCCCCCACTTCCCCACTCCTAACAACTTACTTTTTTCCAAGTTAGTAGGTATGATGGATCCTGCATATTCCTATGAAGAACACTTATTTGACTTTGCCTTGTTTCGTAATAGGTTATGTATTCACACATCTCCCAATAGAGCGTCAGCCACTTGAGGACAGGCACTTTGTTTTAGGCATCTTTTATTTTCCTTCCCCCAGTTTTTAATTGGATTTTGTTCCATCTTTTTTTTATATATCATTTGCTGTTCTTTTTGTCTTCTCCAAACTAAATTATTTATTTAATGTTATGGGTTTTTTTCCTTTTCAAATTAAACTATGACTCTTTTTCTCTTTGGCAGGGCTGGAAAAAAGAACGTGTAGTAGCAGAGTTTTGGGATGGGAAAATTGTGTTGGTTCTGCCACACGATCCAAGTTACGCTATCAAAAAGGTACAGAACACTAGCTTTTTAAAATTTATTTAAGATTTTATTTATTTATTTAGAGAGAGGGGAAGGGAGGGAGAAAGAGAGGGAGAAACATCAATGTGTGGTTGCCTCTCACTTGGCCCCCACTGGGGACCTGGCCCACAACCCAGGCATGTGCCCTGACTGGGACTCAAACTGGCAACCCTTTGGTTCACAGCGCACACTCAATCCACTGAGCTACACCAGCCAGGGCACTAGCTTTTTAATTCTCATTCTCCTCCTGCTTCCTCTCCCCAACCAAGAGATCACCAGTGCTGAAGAGTGAAACGCCTTTGCTGATACAATCCCCTTTGGTACACATGTAAGGATGATTTTCATAGTAGCTCATACAAAACTAAACTTAGAATTATAAGACAAATAAAGGAATGGAAGTTGGAGTTTAAAGACAACAGCTTGTTCCCTGACTGGTGGGGCTCAGTTGTTCGGGCCTTGTGTCACAAAGAGAAAGGTTGCCGGTTTGATTACGATTTCAGGTGAAGGCACATGCCAGGTTCAGTCCCCACTTGGTTAAGGTGCTTATGAGAGGCAACCAGTCAGTGTTTCTCTCCCCTTCCCTCCCCTCCCTCTAAAAATAAATAAATAAATAGAAAAGACAAAAGCTTATCCTTTACATTTATCTTCCACTTGTGAAAGATTAGAAACTAAACTTTTCGATGTTGAGAGATGAGTGGCTCCAGAGTCTGTTTCTTGTGTTAGTGTCGCCTGCACTTATTCGGCTGGGTGTTTAGCCCCAGTAAACAATGAATAAAGCTGAAACAAAGCCTGTTTTGGCACTGATACTCCTTCTCCCTCCCAGGAGTCTGAATTTCTTTCTGCCGGAAGGGATCTTTAAAACAGGTTCTTAAAACCCAGTTTGCAAAGTGGCAGGTACATGCATCAACAGTGAAATAACTGGGAGAAGAGAAGGCTATGCAGATTTAGGAAATAGGGATAAAAGAGGCTAAAATGATAGTGATTGTAAATTTTGTGTATATAATTATAGTTTCTCTTGCACTTTTTAAAACAAATTCATCTCTTGGTTTTTAAAATCATTAGGTAGAAGACGTCCAAGAACTTGTTGACAGTGAATTGGGCTTCCAGCAAGTTGTGCCCAGATGTCCAAACAAAACCAAAACTTTTCTCTTCATATCTGATGAAAAGAGAGTAGTTGGGTGTTTAATTGCAGAGCCTATCACACAGGTACGTTGTAAGTCTTTTAAATTACTGGCATAATTTATGAGCAAAATAAATTAGTTGGGAGAAGTCTCAATAAACATTTAAGACTACTACCATAAGTGACTTTTTTTTCCTGCTGAAACATCCTTAACTGTATGAATAATTGAAGTTATTTACTTCTGTTAATATTTGTATTTTGCACTATAAAAGCAGGATAACTTTAGTCGGTCTCATGTTCATGCAGTCATTTCTATAGCTGGCCTATAAAGTACAGTGGTTTCAAATAAGCAAACCTGTAGATCCCAAGTAAGGAACACGTAGCTTAGTGCAGGTTAATACAGGGGTGGGCAAAAGTAGGTTTATAGTTGTAAGTATACAGTTTACTTTTGTATTATTATGTATTATTGTATTATTTATTTTTATTATTTGTCTTTTTCTCCCTATTATTGTTATTATTTTGTATCCTTTTATCTTTTGGGTAATGATGGCTGGTAATTTAACCTACTTTTGCTCACCCCTGTATATTTGCCAAAATTGTTACTTGTTCCTTAATTAGAATCTACTTTAGGTACTAATTAGCAGTACCCTAGCAGTACTAGCAAAGGAGTCATCAAACTATAGCCTGTGGGCCAAATGTGGCTGCCGCCTACTTTTGTAAATGAAGTTTTCCTGGAACACAGCCATGCTCATTCATGTCTGTGTTACATGCAGCTGCTTTTGTGCAACAATGGCAGGTTAGAGTGGGAGCAACAGAGACCACCTGGCTCAAAGAGCCCAAATTGTAGTGATTTGGCCTCTTAACAGAAAAAGTTGCCAGACCTTGTTCTAGAATAGAGAGATGTAGTTTTTGCCTTCAAGGACTTTCCAGGGTAATTTGTAGATAGACATTTATAGTTGAAATGTGTTCTTTCTACCTGTATCATATTCCACACTTGTCTCCTTCTTTTAAAATACTTATCTCACTGTGTCATGAAATGAAGCTAGCATAAACTTATTTTATACTTTTTTGTGGAGGGGGAAAGGTAAGTGTGATTTTAAAGAGGTAGTAGCAAGAGGAAGATTTTTGTGATGGTAGAGTACCTCTGTACTTTGAATGTGATGGTTAAATGAATACCGAATACTGGCATAATGAATTGTCATGAAACTATACACATACATTATACCCATGTTAATTTCTTGGTTTTGATATTGTACCATAGTTATGGAGGGTGTAACCCTTGGGGGAAACTGAGCCCTGTCTGTACTAGTTTTCTACTACCTGTGAATCTGTAATTATTTCAAAATAAAACATTTTCTTAAAAAGCCATAGATGCCAATCAAATTTTGTAGTTAACTTGTAAAAATCTTTAGTGTTTTCATTTTTAAAAAATATATACATTTTAGGTTGGAGAGAATAAGAGAAGTTTATGTATTTTATGTACTAAAAATCAGTCTGTTTTTTTTTACAGTTTTTTCTCTTTTTCATGATGGTAAAGTTTCATGATGGTATGTAGTACACTGGCATGTTGGGAATATCTCAACACCACTAGTATTTTTTTCAAGCATTGTGTAACTATAAAAGAGTAAGAATTCAACAACTATGAAAGAATTTTAACATTTTTGGTGAATGGATAATAAGATTAATTTTAAACTCTTAAGTTTTGTTTATGGGATGGTTTTTAAAAAGAAACGTGAACTTACCTGTATCGTTAACTCTAGATGCTTCTATATATCATTGCAGGCCTTCCGTGTCCTGTCTGAACCAACTGGTCCAGAATCCCCAACTTCTCGAGAATGTCACAGGGCGTGGCAGTGTTCAGATGTTCCTGTCCCTGCAGTCTGTGGGATAAGTAGAATCTGGGTCTTCAGACTGAAGAGAAGAAAGCGCATTGCAAGACGACTGGTTGATACTCTTAGGTAAAAAATATAATAAAATAAAATGGGCCCAGATTGGTTTTCCCAGAACCATTCCCAGCTCATGATCCAAAATGAATGATGTTGATAAGACACTTCTGGATACATTCTATCAAAGTTGGGCTGAGTAAGACAAGTGTTGGCACTGAAAAAACTCCCACAAAACTAAACTAAATTTACTCAGTTTAGGATACAACATTCCCTTTCCCAGGTCTGAAACATAATAACCCAGTGCTTTTCAAACTACCTGTGGTAAAAGAAAGAATAGTTTAATTTGCTACAGACCAAGACTTTAATAAAAGAAAATAAAGATGAATTGCTAGAAAATAAAATAGAAAAACAAAACAAAAAAGGAAAGTACAAGTCCTAATTTTATTCAGTTTCAACAGATGTAAAATTAACATTTCAATAAATATTTAATGATTAAATATAAAACAAAGAAAATGAAAGTTAAAAAAATTACAGAAATTGTACATGTCCGTTGATAGTAAATAGGTAATTAATAGACTTATTATAACTCTTAAGTGTAACTAATGTAAAAGTGAATTAGTAAGACAATACAGAGTGGGAGAAAATATTTGCAAATCATTTCTCTAATAAAGGTCTATTATATCTAGAATAAAAGAACTCTTTTAATACAATCATAAAAAGACATACAACCTAATTTAAAGATGGGCAGGATTTCAAAAGACTATTTCTTCAAAGAAGTACAAATGGCTTATAGACACATGAAAATCTGCTCAACATAATGAGTTATCCAAACTAAATCACCAATCAAAACCACAATGAGACACCACTTCATACCACTTCACACCCACTAGGATGACTGATCAAAAGAAGGGAAAATAACAAGTGTTGGTGAGGATGTGGAGGAAACTGCACTCCTGTACTTCGCTACAGGAATGTAAAACGGTGCAGCTGCTGTGGGAACAGGCTGGCGGTTTCTCAGAAATAGACTGTTACGATATGACCCAGCAATTGTACTCCTACCTATATACACAAAAGAAATGAGAGCATAAATCCACTCAAAAACTGGTATGTGAATGTTGATGACAGCATTATTCATAATAGCCAAAAAAGCATGAAAACCAAGTTCATGATTAATGGACATATACAATGTGGTATATCCATAGAGTGTGATACAGATACTACAGTGCGGATGAACCCTGAAAACATTATGCTAATTGAAATAAGCCAGTCACAAAAGACCCCATATTGAATGATTCCACTTAGAGAAAATGTCCAGAATAGGCAAATCCACAGATAAAGTAGAAGAGTAGTTTCCAGGGCCTGAGGGGTGATTGGAGTGTGATGATTGATGGCTTTGGGCTGCTGGAATTAGATATTGGTGATGGTTGCACAGTTTTGTACTATTACTGAAAAACCTCTGAATTGTACACCTTGAAGCGATTAAGCCTTATAGTATACAAACTGTATCTCAAATAGCAATTCTCCATTTTAAACTCATATGCATTAACATTGATACTTAAAAGTTTCTGACGTGACAAATGAGCTTATTTCTTGCTCATGTTAGTTCACCTAATCTAGATTGGACGGGTGAGTTTCGCAACACTATTCTCTCAACTTCTGTACTTGATAACAGATTACGAACCAGTGAGGGAGCGCACTTTGACCAGAACGAGAACCACCCTTTGAGTAGCATCATTCTATCTAGCCTTTTGAGTTCTATACACGTTTTAAGAAAGAACACCAGAGACCACTGTGGGGATCCCATCTTTGGTCACAATCCTGCTCACCCACATACACTTTATAAAGCAGAGCAGTGAGAAAAAATGGTGTCTGCAGAGATTTTTATTGGACAGTTAATTATGAAATACCTCTATTTCCTATATTTTATATGAAGAAATACATAAATTTTATATGTAGAGTGCCCGTATCTTACCTAGCTCCACCAGGAAGTAGTGTAGTGCTTCTCAAACTTGAAAGTGCATATTGAATCACCTGGGGATCTTGTTCAAGTGCAGGTATGGTTCTGTAGGTCAGGGTAGGGCCTGGGATTCTGCATTCCTAGTACGATCTCAGGTGATGATGAATGTTGCTGGTCTGTAGATCATACTTTGAGTACTAAGGCAGTAGGTTATCTCTAAGTGATAATGAATAAATGTTAAATTGCCCTCAAAGGAGAAATATAAAACACATTTGAGAACATCTTTTCTGACATCTTTTCTGACATGTCTGAGTTGAAGATGCAGGTAACGTAACTGACGTCTAGCCTGTATGTGAGGAACCTTAGGCTGGATTGTCTCTTGTCCATACAGGCAATATATGTTTAAATCCTCACAAGGGTAGAGTATTACTCCTAGTTACTTTACATAAGAATCACCCGAGGCTCAAGTGGGATTATTAAGTACAAACTTATGCTGATGAGCTAGCTAGTAAAAAGACAGTTAGGACTCAACCACAGATGTAATATATTTTCTACAGCTGATAGCACTAATAAAGGCAGGACTGTTTAATCAAGCCAGTTTTGCCTTGGACATTCAGCAATGAACACTGCATTTATATAGTAAGGATATCAGAAGCTTAACCTTTAATTGAATCCAATCCTTTAAGTTTTTATTTTGAAGTGGTTTCAAAAAAAAAAAGTAGCAAGAATAGTAAAAAGAACCCCCATATACCTTTGCCCAGATTCATCCAGTTTTAATGTTTACTTTCTTTGTATTTCAGTGTATATTTATTTAAGAACAAGGATATTCTCTTACATAAGCAGAGTTCAATGACCAAATTCAGGACATTTAATTTTGACAATGCTTTTGTCTAATGTATAGTTCATATTTCAATTTTGGCATTTGTCTCAAATGTCCTTTATAGCCTTTTCCTTCCCCTGCCCAGGATCGCATATTGCACGTCGTCATCTCTTTAGTCCTCATTTCCCTTAACCTGGGCCAGTTTTCTGGCCTTTTCTTTTATGACATTGAAGAGTACGGGCCAGTTACTTTATACACTATCCCTTACGTTTATTGAATTCGTTCAACCATTTCATTACTTTTAACCCTAACAGCTCTGGGTCAGGGAGAGTTGTAGTCAAAATGCAGATTAGTTTTTATCCTCGTACAGCTCTGAGTATGTGGTATAATTGAAAAGAATGCAGTTATTGGTTAAAATCAGTGGTAGGTTTCTTTGGTTTTTATTATCTGTGGCTTTAAATCAGCAATATTGCCTCTTATTAGTTGTTCGCTACTGTGGATCACCTCGTCAGCTGGATGGTTTGTATGATTCCCTTTGTCTCAGCAGAATTTTTTCTGGACCTCAGTTTTCTGTTCTGTGAAATATTAGACTTCCATCTCAAATCTAAAGCATTAAGTCATGCTCTGGCCAAGTGGCTTAGCTGGCTGGAGCATCATCTTGTACACCAAGTCTGTGGGTTCGATCCCTGGTCAGGGCACATACCTAGGTTGCAGGGACCAAGTCCTGGTCAGGGTGCATACAGGAGGCAGCAGATCGATGTTTCTGTCTCTGGGTGAGGATTAAAAAAGTAAAACAACACTAAGTGATCTTATCACATAATAAGATAGAATTTTTTTTTGAGAGGGAAAGGAAGAAGGGGAGAAACATCAATGTTGCCTCCTGTACGTTCCCCAAGAGGGGACTGAACCTGCAACCCCGGTGCTATGAACCCTGACCGGAACTGAACTGTTAACCTTTCGGTGTCCAGAGCAGCACTCCAAACAACTGAGCCACACTGGCCAGGGCTAAAATGTTCATTTCAATTGAGTTTATTTAAAGAGATTTAATTTTTATATTTGGATTGCTTTAAAATAAATTGTGTTAATGTTTAATCAAAATTTAATTTGGTTTCACTGTTAAATTTTATTTTCCTCTTTTTTAGGAATCGCTTCATGTTTGGCTGTTTTCTCAGTACTGATGAAATAGCATTTTCTGACCCAACACCAGATGGCAAGTTATTTGCAACCAAGTATTGCAACACCCCTAATTTCCTTGTATACAACTTTAATAGTTAAAGCCAGTTTCAACTATGGAAGAGTTACTATATGAATGAGTTCAGACAACTTATATAATAACCATTCAGCAAATGTTAAAAACACCGAGGTGCACACACACAATCTGCTGTTCCTTATGAACTGAAAAGTCAGGGATTTGTTAAAAAGTATCTGGAGGTTCAAAGGAGAAATCTTTGGATGATGTGCACTAGCACTCTGAATCCTTAATTCTGAAACTCCGTAGACATAACTGGAAAATTACTTCTTACGTAAGAACACTGACAAAGCAAGGTGGTTTCCAACAGAAATGTGCCTGCTTACCTTGTATGGAGCACTTTTGAATCAGGATTATCTCATCCTCAATCAGAAGCAAACAGGCAAATTTAAAGATAAAATTTTCACACCCAGTTTTTAAAGGTAGTTCCTGAATTCTGTACCAGGAATCTTCACCTTATAGGTAGCTCAGTTTGAATATATTTAGAAAGTTTTAAATGTATAATTTCTAATGGGGTAAGATGGTAAAGACTTCCATATGCTTTTATGTACAACAGAATTCTATAGTTTGTTTTCCTCTCTTTAAAAATCATTAATTGAAAGCAGTTCTCACCAGATTTAATTAAAACTAAACTTAGTAATTGCACTATTGTAATTTAATTTATGGTGTACGCTAATTGTGCTACTTATCTTTAGTGAACTTATTACTAGGAATTGAACTTCACAACAAAATGGATGCCCCAGTGGGGATTAGATGATTCACATAGTTGGTTACACTTAAAATTGTTTTGCATGTCTGAAATACTTCTTGTCCTATGACATCTAACAAAATGTATAGTATCAGTACGAAGGTCAGTGAGTATATACAGGGTCCAGCAGAAGTAACACCTGCTTGAGTGTGACTGGTAGGGTAATAATATGGGTGTAATAATTTGGTTTGAATTTGAACATTTCACCTAAAATGTCATATGGTGTGCTTCAGTGTGATATGTTGAGCGCTTGAATGTTACCTAATTACATGCTTATGACTTTGTAATAAAAAAGGGGTGTTATTTGTGCCGGACCTTGTGGATCTAGGCTGATGGGCCAGAGAACATAACCTTATGTAAATACAGCTAAATGTTTTAATCTTTTTAAAAATAAGTTTTCTATTATAATTCATGGATACCTTGAAAAGCAAAGAATTATTCAGATTGTTGAGTCTAAAAACATTTAACTGCTATCTGGCAATAATTCTCTACGGAAGTAGATTTCCAGGTTATAACTGTAGAGTGTGTTCATTTATGTTCTTTTATTTGCCTGTAAGCTAACGTGGTACCAAAAGTTAAAAGCCTGAGTTCCAAAAGAATGTGAACGTGTTAAAATGTAATTATGCAAACATTTTAATGTTATTTTCTGCACTGTTTTTAATTTTATTTTAAACATTTTATTAACATTATTTGCTTGCTCAATGCTTTTGTGATGGATCAATTAAAATTCTTTTCAATATTCTCTTTGTCTATTCTCATACAATTGAATATACTAATTTTTTGTGGCTATAAAAATAGTAGTATATACTCTTTGTAAAAAAAATATCATTGAAAACATATCCATCCACACAAAAACCTACGCACAGATTATTTATAGCAGCTTCATTCATAACTGTCAGAACTTGGAAACAACCAAGATGTTCTTCAGTAGATGAATAAACAGCTACATTGAGAAAGTGGATTACTATTCAGCACTAAAAAGAAGCCACAAAAAGGCATGGAGGAACCATAAACAACTATTACCACGTGAAAGAAGCCAATCTGAGGCTATGTTCTGTAGGACTCCAAGTACATGACATTCTGGACAGGCAAAACTGGAGAGTAAAAATATATGTGGCTGAGGGAGAGACACGTAGGAGCACAGGATTTTTCGGGCAGTGAAAATATAATACAAGTACATAGTCATGTGCCACCTGACATTTCAATGAACAACACAATGAATATATGATGGTGGTCCCACAAGATTATAGTGCAGGTGGAAAACTGCCTAGCTAGCAACATCACCGTCACCGGAATGTCACAGGGTAACATGTTACTCATGTTTCTGTGGGGATCCTGGTATAAAAAATACTGAGTTGCTAGTAGTATAAACGAATAGCACATACAAGTATGTACAGTACACAATACTTAATAACAAATGACTTACTGATTTGTGTATTACTACACTTTACCATTATTTTGGTGTACTCTACTTATTTTAAAACGTATACTCTAAAACAGTATGCTGTTACTCCAGTAGCAGCCTCATACATCTTGTGTTTAAATGCATTTCTTGATTGCATATTTTTCTCTTGATTTAATCTCATGTTGTTTTGTTCATCATGGCCCTTAAGCATCTAAAATCCACTGCTAAGAGAGGCCACCTTGAGGGACTGAATTGGAAATTCAAAGTGATTAAGGAAGGACTGAAAGGTGGAAAATCAATGACACTATTGCTCACTAGTCAGATTATGTCCCACTCCACCAAAGCCACATTCTTGAAGAGCAAGAACAAAGTGATGGAAACTGTTAAGGAACCTGCTTCACTGAAGGGAATACTAACAAAAACTGGAGAAACTTCTCAACCTGGCTTCAAGACCAGACACAGGCATGACCCTCTCAGCCCCAGATGGTCACTGGAAAGCAAAAGGTTTGCTTGAGATGATGAAAGGCTGGACCCAACTATGACGTTGAATTTACTGCTAGCTCTGAGTGGTTTAAATGATTAAGAATCGTTTGTCATCCCTTACATAATGTAAGAGTGAGCAATGAGTCTGCAGGTACTGATGTGAAAGCAGCTGAAGGATTTTTAGAAACTCTAGATATGCTGATTGTGGAGGAAATTTACATGACAGCCAAAATTCAATTCAGATGAACTCTCCTGGACAGGACTTTCATCCATAAAGAGGCCAAGTCAATGCCAGGTTTCAAGGCTTTTAAGGACAGGATAAGTCTTGCTTTGTGACCTGGCAGCGAGAACCCCAGGGCCTTCAGACTTTTCTAATATTACATGTTTCAATAAGCACATCTTTAACCATATCCCACAAATCTGTTTTTTTTTCATTAAAAATCTTTTCTCATTTTATTTTGATCGTTATTTTTGTGTCATACTATTTTTTTAAAATTTCACCTTGTAGGTTTTAAAGATTTTATTTATTTTTAGAGAGAGGGGAAGGAGGGAGAAAGAGGGAGAGAAACAAACATTGACAGGTCATCTCTTGCATGCCCCCAACTGGGGACCAGACCTGCAACCAAGGCATGTGCCCTGACCGGGACTCTAACCAGCAGCCTTTCAGTTATAGGCAGAGGCTCAATCCACTGAGCCACGCCAGCCAGGGCTGTCACATTAATATTTTGATAGAAGGTATGCTTACTAATCTGTGTACCATTGCTTGGTACAATCTCACATAATAGGAACCCTGTAGCTCTGACAGACATGGCTCCGCCATGGATTGGCCATCATCCTGCAAACCAAAAGGTCAGCGACTCAATTGCACATGCCTGGGTTGCAGGTCAGGTCCTTGATTGGGAACATGCAAGAAGCAACCAATCAATGTTTCTCTGGCACATCAATGTCTCTCTCCCTCTCTTCCCCTCTCTCTAAAAATTAAAAAACAATATCAACCCTCCAGTGGATTCTAAAATTGCTAATGCTCACAGCACAGTGGTTCAATCCTCCCTTTAACAGTAATTTTAAAAATTCTTTCTACAGTCAATTCCAGGCCTACCACCTAGACAGGCACAATTCAATAACCGAAAATTCCCAGGGGCGGCTGTGATTGACAGATAAAAACTACTGGTCCAAATCACCCTCACTTTACAGATTACCAAAATAAGGACAAGAGAGAAACCCCTTCACTCACTCAGCAACTTCACTGACAACACTCAGAGCAATGGAGATGAAAGAAATAATACTCTTCTGGTAACTAAAGTGTCCTTTATTTTCTATCACACTATTAGTTTTACTGTTTTTACACACCAGAACTGTGAAATGCTTAAGCTTTAGATTAAGTAGAAAAGGGATCTCAGTACAGAAAACACATTAAATAAATGAAAGCAAAGACCAAAGATCTGTGGAGAACCGGGAGGGCAAGACAAGCCTTCGCCAAGGAGCTACTCTTTTGAGCCACAGTCTCTCAGCTCCCAGAAACCATATTAAATAAGCACAACAGCCCAGAAAGAACAGCAAAGTTTAATGTTTTAAAAGAAAAGCAAATGTAGACACATTTTGTACTGCAAAGTGCTAATTTAAATAGATCCATTAAATAGAATATTTAAAATCATTAATAGTTATTGGTTACTCTACCCAAATTAATGTTAGACAAATATTGCTATTGTTTTAAATCTCTATGAGTAAGTTTCAATACTTATAAACTCAAAATAGTTTCTTAAACTTTATATTTACAGAAAACCCACTATGATATCACATGCTGATCACATGAAATACCTTTATAATAGAAATAGTTTTCAAATGTTAACAAGGTGCTATGGTTCTAAAATAGGCCACTCTCAAAGAGTCTAATAAGTATGGATTATCATAGTAACTACATAAATATAATAAACAGAACAGTTATACACATAAGCCATACTTGAAGCTCAGGTAGTTGGGAGTATGAGCTCACTGGACATCTACTTCCAATGCTTCGACAATGTGTGCAGCAGAAGGACGATCTCTAGGATCTTCATTAGTGCATACAGAGAAGAGCTCAATTACTTTCTGGTATGTTTCATCCAGTTCTTCCATATTAATAGCTGGCCTAGTTCCCAAAGCCGCATAGTACGCTTCGTCATCGAAGTCACTTTCATCAAAAGTTTTATCTGCTCATGAAGGAGTTTGAAACAAATAACGTCACTTTAAATCATGGACTTATCAACTGCTCAAACTCACCCTTTTGAAACAAGAATTTATCATCCAATATGCTTTTCATTATTATAACCACAGTCTCTTCAATAGTCTGGCCATGGTGAAGATTAGCTACTGTCATGGATTTAATCTGTGATCATCAGCCCCTTACTAGGACAGCTTTCTAATCTCAGGCCAGGGAAGTTTTTAAAGTAACTTTTTGCTCCTCTGAATTTTCTCAGTTTATCTCCCTGTTCTGAATTAATCTATATCTCAATTGTATAAAATTAAACCAAGATGGTACCAAATTAGTCATCAGTACTAATATAATCTATACCTCATGCCACTAAATCACTTTGCTTGTTTTAAAACTAACTTAATAGAAAAACAAAATTTTATAAACTAATCTTACTTCAAACCAAACACACCGGGATTTACATTAAAAATATATAGTTATACCGTCATCATCATCGTCCAAAAGAGTAATGTGTGGAATAGACAAAGTCATCATTTCCCACAGAGTAAGGCCAAAGGCAAATATGTCCGCCTTGTCCGTGATAATGCCATTCTCCTCCAAAGCCTCCTTGGGTTTCCAAGGCTCAGTGCCAATATAGCAAGCCTCCGGGCCAGTTACTGAAACAAGTAAAACGCAGGTGAAATTGTCTCAACGGCAACACTAGAAATCAGCAAGAAAGGCAAGCAAACCACTCCCCCTACCCCACCCCACCCCCAAAAATAATAATAATAAAGGGCAAATGATTTGACATGTAATTCAAGTTATTAAATATAG